TAAGATAGTATTGTACAATAGATTTAAGCTGTTTCAGATTGGGCTCATTTAAGTGCTGTACCGTACAATACTAAACGGAATTTTTAAGTACTCATAGACTGAATCTATGGCCCGTATGAGTAAAAACGAAGGAAATGCTTTTTTAAAGCTCTTCCGCTCCGCGAGAACTAAGAGGGCCCGTTTAAGTAAGCCCCTTTATGGGTTTGGCCAGGCCCACAATGGAACCTGGTGGTGAGAGACGGAACTCGACATATCCAGGCGGACTACCACCCGAAAAATTCCTGGGGATTTTTCGAATCGCACCTCGGAAGTGTCTTTTGGTGAACAATGGTAATCTCTGTCAGTTTGTCAATTACAGAATATCGAGGTTTTACGATCAACATAGCGCCATCTGTTTTTCACAATTGTAAGTATTGTCGAATTCCATATGTATATATATTGCGGTAAATAATCGAAAATTCCGTCATCCAGGGCGGAGCCACGGTGGGGCAGTTATTGTTATAGTGTTTGCTATAATAATAGTTAGAATGTTAATGATTTACAAGAACAATATATATATAACAAGGTGTAAAAATTGTAAATATGACTGATCGATACATAAAGTAGTAATAACAGCGAGAGGCAAACAATATACATAATAAAGTACACTGTTAAAACCATAACATTTTAAAACCGTGACATTGGAAACTGTTTTACCATTAAAACAATAAAATAGAACGATAAATTAAAAACAAGTGCATCGTTAAAACAATAAGATTATAAACTTATTTACAGTGAAATCGTAACACGACGAAACGATTCACAGAAATAACAAGAAATTTGCCTCCATTTACTTTTATATTTATTTAAATAAAAGGTAAATGGCCTTTATATCCCTTCTCCTCGTACCCCTTTGATCAGATATAGATACCAAGTTTCGTGTAATTTGCAACCTTCACTGTTACAATGAACTGCAACAACCGAACTACTATTATTATATTTGTTTGCATGTTCTGCATTAATAATAAACTACTAAAAACTTCTTTTAAAATAAAAACTATCATTATATACGTAATAATAGTCGACTCAAGCGGGAACTACGTGTGGAGTGTAGTCTATCGATAAGTCCCAAAATGGCCGCTGCCGCATAGAATCACGGGAGCGTGTCCTGACCTTGGTTCTAATACTCCTACTGCGCTGCCATATAATGTCAAGACCCAGAAGCTCTGTTTGTTTTCTCGCCTTTTAGGCAGCCATTTTTAGTTAGGTTATGTTTTGTTTGAAACTATCATTTGTCCAGAAAACTCTATAGTTTCTATTGAAAACAAAGATAAATATTTTGAAATAAATAACTATTATCTATTATAATCAAGTGTATCTTTTCACTCCTCTACCAATCAATCGATGATAGATTACAACGCGAGTTAAAACATTTATCTGAAGGAACGTTTGTTTTAATAAATTATGAAGGCGTTCCTTATCCTGGACTGATGTTAAAACAGAAAAGGGTTGGATACTCAAGGGCTATGGAGAAAAGTGGGTTGTAATTGGAAATGGCCAAATAAGGACAACATCCTGGATTATACAGTAGATGTAGTGCAAGCCACCCAAAAAGATAAGTCGCCAGGATATTTATTGTGTAAAAGAACTAGTAAATTATCTATCCTGAACATTATGTACAATTTGGTTTAATTTTTTCGCCGCTAATATGATTGATATGCGTGTAATATTGTATATATAGGCCTATATGTAGCCTATATATATACAGTAAGACAACGCTTAATGCAGGGGACTATTTTTGATAAAGTTTGGTGACAGTCTAATGTTGCGACAATCCTACTTTTATACTGTTAAAAAAACAGAAAACACTTGTTTTCTCTTTTTTTTTAACAGTATAAAAGTAATTTTTAACTAATTTTTTGCTCTTGTGATGTTGGTGAAAGTATGCACCGTAGACAGTGTCATGCATTACATTACACTTCTGAAGCACCCAGTTACATCAAGAAAAACACTTTTTTACGTGTACATTGCAAAATCATACAACGTACAGCTAATGAAACTGATAAAACAACTGAAATACAAGATGTCTTTTGAAAGAATCAAATTTAAATCAAACAAATGTGGTATATTTTTAGTGCCCGAAAAAATCCCTGGTTCGAACAGAAGGATAAAACGCTCAGGATAATGATGATAATATATGAGTATATATTTAACAGTGTACTTTTTTATGTATATTGTTTGCCTCTCATTGCTATTACTACTTTGTGTATTGTACCGTCATTTCTAGTTTTTACACCTTGTTATACATATATATGTATATTACTAGCAGACCCCGCCGCGCGTTGTTGTGGCTCAAAATGTATCTATTATAAATGTATAACTCTTCCCCCGTGGGGGGATATCGAAAAATCCCTTTTTAGTGTATATTCTGTTGACGTACCCTATTAAAACGCAATCAAAAACGCAAAAAAATGCTTCTAAAATAGTATAAATAGAAGTAGAGTTCTTTAATTCCTCTCACTGGGGGGGAGATGGACAGGATTAAGGCTTACCGTGCCTTAATCCTGTCCATCTCCCCCCCCCAGTGAGGGGAATTTCGACATGTATATTATAGTGTTTCTCAAACGGGATCCCGGTTGTTTTTTAACTCGGGAAATCCCGCAAATTCCTTAAAAAATTCACTTTTTTTCTTATTTTGTGTTAAGGTTAAGAAATTTTGCAAATAGAAAGCATAAATATCTCATTCACTGTCGGAATACATTTGTATTTATTCATTTTAAACCTATTAGTTTTTTTTTTTTTTAATTTTTGCTCGTTATGTCACGTCACAAAGGGTGGATAATCAATACGTAGCTTATTTGTGGCAGGACTCTGAAAATTCTTTGTCAGAACCAGTAATATATATGGAATAATTGCGCTTACGCTGTCTTAATTTTTAACCACGCCCGGTGGCTTCAATAAATGCGTAACGCCAGATTGTGCAAATTGGGCAAAGATACAAACGAGTATGAAGTTTTTCTTCATAAACCCGATTATTAAATCCAAACGAATTGCCGAATTATCCAGTTATATAATCTCGAAAACAAACTTATAAAAGTTTACAAACATTACCTCTTTATAATATTAGTATAGATTGTTGTAAATCATTAAAATTCTAACTATTGTTATAGCAAACAACTGTAAATTATATCTTTTTTAGTATGTGGAATCACCCAGACTGCATTGTGAATCAATTGAAACAGTTAATGAGCCTAAAGAAAATAAAAATAACTTCAGTTTTGTTTTATGCTTTCGGAATTCATGATTGAAATTATGTTTTTGATTATGGAAAATAATTTCTTAAAGACTTAATTTCATAACGCGAAAATACCTGAAGAATTTGGGTGTTTTTATTTATTGCTTATTATTTAAATACAACGAGAAGTCGTCTATATAGATTTGACATGTCCACCCCCCGTACAAACCCACAAAAAAATTACAAAAATATAATATACATAAAAGAAATATAAACTCAAAACGTACAATATACGTAAAATTTTTGACTAAGGTCTTTTACACACTCATCGTGTGTTCGCTCTGACTGATTATAATTGCCGAATAGTGAGGGGAAAGTCTCGACATATCATATATATATATATATTTATATACACTGTACAGTACGTACATGCAAGGTGTTTCCCAAAGAATTGACAATATATTTACAGAGCATTCTAGAGGCATAGGGGATTCAAACGCACCGCTTGACTCTAGAAGGATTTAAAGTTCAGACTAACTACCCATTAAGATACCACTTGTGCAGTGCTGCGGAAAGGCCTCGGTGTCAAGAAATGCTAGCGTTTAGGTGGGTGTAATGGGAAATCCGCCACCGTGCACGTGACATTTCTCCATGCTCATTCCTTCACGACTGTAAAAGTGGTGGGTCAAAAAACAGAATGACTGAAATAACAATTGATAATTTGATATATATCTATGCCCTACATTAAAACTTATCAATATTAATTACAATTCTCTGATAAACTCGTCATTTGGGGAGTGGATTATTTGATATGGAACGTTTTCATATAAATTGGAGTAAAAAGAACTGTGACACGCGATACGAATAGATTGCAACTATTCCCTTTATTTTGATACAGGAAACCCTTTTATATATATACAGGTGTTTTCCTTTAGGATGATTGGAAATTTGGTTATATTTGACAATTTAATAAATCTTTAAATTGTTATTAAAAGAATTAATTGTTGTTTGTCGGTATTTGTAACAAATTATCTGATTTATTTAATGAGATAAAACTCTCCTACCCTCTTGTAACAAATTAAATCTTAATTTACAGATTNACATTCAAAATAACAGGCTCGTGTTAGATTTTCATCTTACATATCATATACATTGTGCTGTTAACATTTTGATAATGTCTAAATAGTATTGTTATAGCATTACTTATATCAAAGTAAAAATATATTTTAAAATATTTATATCAAATATAATTTATCAATTGTGCTGTTAACATTTTGATAATGTCTAAATAGTATTGTTATAGCATTACTTATATCAAAGTAAACATATATTTTAAAATATTTATTGTATTTTACACAAATTCGTCTTGTTTATTTTTCAGTTACATAACAAGATGTGTTTTATTTGTTTACATCACAGAACTGGATACTGTTTCGTTCACAAGGCAGATTTGACAGAAGTTATCGAGAAAATGGCGGCAGCTTCGTGAAAAATGGGTGAGAGGTAAGAGCATTTCTTTTATTTGTATAGAAAAAAATGAAATGATAGCCGATAAAGTATTTAAAAAATATATTAGGCCGTATTGTTTCTATATTCTTAACCAAAACTGGTTGGGAGCTGCTATTGTTCTCGCCTAAATTGGTACGAGTTGCGTGTATTTTTAAATGGGGGTTTTTACTGAGGCAGGTGAATTTAAAATGGTGTCTTTCTAGCAATTGGGATGTGAAAATTTCAGTCAGAGTTGTTGTAAAAATGTACAACTTTTCCTGTTATATCACAGTGTATCCTTTGTTCCTAAGGTATGATTTTCGTTTTCTAAATTCCGTAAACGGGAGACTTCGGGTGTCGACATTTTTCTATTTCTTTCTCCAAGAAACTGCGTCTAGTGTTTAGTTGTGTCACTCAATGGGTACTTGACGGGTTCTCTCGTTAATTCGAAGAAAATTACCGTACCAGATCGTTCGGATTAGCCGGCTGGTGTTAAATTACGAAAAGACCTTCGGAAACGTTAATTCTCCGGAATCTTCCAAAACTGTAGGAGACGAAAATTACAGGATGCCAGGGATGGAGAGTGGGAGTCGGGTATTTTTCCGCCGACTTCCTCATCCCTGCAAGATTCTTAGGGGGAGAAGAAAAGAGGGAGACGGAGATAAGAAAGTGACAAAACATTTTAATTTACGGCAAATGTACAGGTTTAAATGGTAGAAGAAAGCGTTGCGACTTTTATTGTCTGGACAATAAATTAGGGCGCGGGCGGAGGAGGACGGGGCCGTCGCGAGGACGGACTATGTACACGCGGCCTCCGGGCGCCGCCGACGTACTTAAATAGGTGGAATTTCGGGGGCGCCGGGCGCCTTCTCCTCCGCGCCCGGGACCGAAGGCGACGGGCGGGCCACTTCCTGCTTCATTCCGTTATCGTCAGGCGTATCGTCGCCAGGAAGTTGCCCCGGTTCCTCTCCCCCCAGGATCCGGTACTGCCTCGGATCTTCAGCACATGCACTCCCCCTCGGACCGGCTTCTTCTTCAACGTCAGCGTCGACACTCCCTGCCTGCCGTACGGAAACGAAGGTGGCAATTAGTTATTCCTTCCACAATAACCAACACGACATCACTTCGCGACTATACACAGGTACAGGAGGAGAATCTTACCTGGTAGTCATGTGAAAGAGATCGTTATTTCCCAGAACCACGTCGTACTTCTCTTTGTTCTGTAAGTAGGTGACGGCCGGCCTTAACTTCAGAATGTTCATTTTGGGATGCGTGCCCGACAGAGGGATGCTGATGGACACGGGCGTCTTTAAATCCACCAATCGCTCGTAGGTGTAGTTTAACGTCTTGTGACGGTTGGAATGTCGTAGGCGATGAGGAAGAGGATGTTGCTGCAAAGAGAAAGGGCAGTTTCATTTCCGTTATATGGGTGCCACGTCGATAATCCACACTCTACTTTAATTAATTATCTATCGATTCTAATGGCGGGTGCCGACGACACTCGAAACATTATTGCGAGGTATTCCCACTCTAATTTTAAAGGGCTTCGGGGTTTTTCACCAATGATCCACACGAGTCTGGAATTTCACTCGTACGGATTTACTATTACATTATTATACACTAGAGTAAGTAAATGAAATACCATTCTGTTAATGGCCCTCTTTTCCAGTCTTCTCAATGTCTGCTTTGTCTGTCTGAATTCGGATTTCTTCTGGTGTCCGGTAATCGTGGCGTTTTCCACGTTCCTCTTCTGTCGATTTCCGTTGAGTTTACACGAGTAGCACCCTTCGGTGGAGATGACTTTCTCGCTGGGAATGGTGTAAGAGGAGTCTCCGTCGGGAATGGGATAGACCGGAAGTCCTCCAAGAGTATTGTCCTGAATGTCGTTACCCACGGGCGGAGATATGGTCGACAGACAGTGGCTGTGGGATTGCTTGGTTTTAATAAGAGTCCTTCTGTACAAATTACACAAAAAAAAGCCAGACACCTACCCTTGTCCGATCCTTTGGTATCCGTCGGGGCAACCGCACACGAATCCACTTTGTCCTGTGGGAGTGCATCCGAATGCGCACGGACTTCCCTGACATCCCACGTTGCCTCCGATTCCTCCGATTTCTGTCCGACGGAACAAAGGTTCGATAGTTTGTATCCCAAGTTAGTAATTAATCTGGTTAATTTCGTAAACACTTACCAATACAGATCAGGTTGAGATTGTCGAAGTTGTAACCGGGAGGACACGTGCAACTGTAACTCCCCACCGTGTTCAAACACATGGCCGTACCGCAGGCGGAAGCAGGACCCGAGCATTCGTTGTCGTCTGTAAACATAGAAATTCCAATAATTGTCGAATGCCCAAATTTTATTCGTTCGGACCATTCCAAACTTAATTTTTCTTTTCCAGCTGTTATGTAGGCCTATACATAATAAGTGAAAGTATGGGATTCGTATCAAATTTGACCCTCCAAATTTTTTTGCAAATCTCCACGTTTTGAGACCCCTGAACCCAAAAAACTCAAGAAAATGGGGGGAAAATTCCATGTGTATGTTGGTGTCTATTTCACTTAATATCTCAGGACGGGGTGAACATAAAATAACGAAATTTGGCATGGTAGCTTGTATATAAGGGGCATTGATTCTATTAAATTTTGAGGGTGGAAATGGATTTTGTAAAACACTAATGAAGATTTTACTTGTTAGCATTTACAATTTTTTTGCTTTTCTGTGCTCCACGTGTGATTATTATTAATTTAATCTCTTAAAAATAGGTTTATTATCTGACAAGGGTTGAACGCGTTATAAAAATTTAAGAATTAATCACTACACGAGGTTGTGAAGAAAGTGTTGTCCGGAAAAAAGGGATACCAATCAATTAGCTATGGTCCAAGTAACGGTAGCCTAAATTTACAAGGGGTTAAGAAATTAGAGTGATAAAATAAAATGAATAGCTTATTGCTCCATTAGTTCTTCAAAGTGATTGTCCCTGTTCATCTGATCATTTCAAAACACCCCTTTCCTTGCGATTGATTATGGATTGCTGCAAACGTTAAATAGTGGGAATACCATTCACGATCGTCTGCGCTAATCGTCTCAGTAAATACGCATATCGGCTAGCTTCTGAGATGTGAATTTCTCCATTATGTCTGACAAATACTTAGTAAACATAACTATAAAACAGCATCCAACACTGGTTATGGGTTTGAGCTTCGCCACATGAAGTTTTCCGAGTTTTCTTCACATGTCTAATATACATACATAAATGAAGTGTTTAGTCGGAAGAGGAGATAGACAATAGAAAAAAGTAGGATTCCTCTGAACAGTGTACATAAGGCTAGAGTACCCTCTATGTTTGATTTTCGCGTGCAGTTTTTAGGCTGCAAGGTCGTAGTCTCCCAACGGGTCTAAAAGAAAACCTGTAGCAAACACCAATAATTGAGTGCTGCCACGAATAGCTAAGTGTAGAAGTTAGTCTTCCTACTAATATTTAATACTAGACAGACAGTGCAAAAAGCAAACGAGTTAACTTACTCACTAACTAAACTAACCTAACCCTAATGTAAATTACATCTAGGACTAACTGAATTTATACTGAAAAGATGAAAGGCAGCTTTATACCAACAGTTGAAACAAATCAAGGGATAGCTAATTGCCATCCATGCCATGGAGTGAGTGCTATCAAGAGCCCCACTAATAGATATGAATGCAAGTAGATGATGGAACAGTGTACACATGTGAATGAGTTGGTGCAGGTTGCAAGGCCAGTTGTACCCTTCAAGAATAACAGCTCTCATTAAGCTATCCCTAATGTGATTGTACCTATTGCAGCGAAAAACTAAGTGTTTGGTCCTCCTGAATACCACAATTGCATTGCGGATTGTCCCCAAAGTTAATTCTATGCAAGTATTGCTTAAAGTTGCCATGTCCTTTAAGTAGCTGAGTGAGGGTGTAACTAGGGTAAAAGTGGCAAAGAATCGCAATAGTGTCAAGCTTGGGAATGAAAGTGTAGGTGAGCCTACCGGTGGTGTCATGGTCCCAGCTGTCTTGCCAGAGAATGAAGATTTGCTTCTTGACATGGTTGTTGATGTACGAGGTAGGAATGTAACTGAAAGTACTAGTGAGTGAAGACTATGCAGCTTGTTTGGCAAGACGGTCGGCAGTCTCGTTGCCAAGAACCCCACATGACCCGGGACCCATTGGAAATCTATTCTAATGTTGTTATCTGAGAATGTGGTGTATGAGATGGATGAGTTTTAAGCGACTATCAGACTTTGCAATCCTGTGTAAAGCTACCCTACTGTCAGAATAAATGTGATAGTGTAAGTAGTGTCTTTTGTCCTTCCTATGCCTAATGTGAATATAGCTCATATAAATAGCTAAAGTTTCCGCTTGTGCACCTAAATGAAAGCAAGCGTTGTGAAGCTCGCGGCCTAAGTTGGAGTAAACTACAAAAGCGGCACCCACATCATCATCCTTCTTGGAACCATCAGTGTAAATCGTAAATATGGGATGATCACCTAGATCTTCAGGGCAAGCTGATGGGAGGGTTGGTAATCATAAGTCGGAAGTGAATTTTTTGATATCATCAATCGAGGTCAAATTGGGGGGAATCTTACCTACTCTAATCATTTTGTTGACATCCGAGTTGATATAATCTCGCCAGGGTAAGGTGACGAGATTTTCCTGCCAAATAATGCATTTAATTTCTAAGTCAATAGGGGTCAATCCTGACATTACCAAAAGGACACTCTAATAAAGAAAGAGGGGCTGCCTGCTTTTGCAAACTTAGCCCAGTAGGAAGAAAAAGGGGTGAAGGAAAGGTTTTGAAGTGAGAAGTACAAAGGAAAAGGGGGAAAAGTAAAGGTGAAAAAGTTCTTAGGACCTCAGAGCATTGCATCAGAAATTATTTATAACCAAAATTACAACAGTTGACAAAACCATTATACAATAATATCAATTACAGTAGTATGCAAAACCCATCATTTATGGGTAGGTAATTAACAACCTTAATCACTGCAAGGTTACAATAATAATAAAAACTAATTTTAATACACGGAGAGAGTATAAATATTAGCTTACAATGATAAAAGGGCACTAGTGGTTGTGGTCCTACAGGCCTTACAAATGCAGAGAGCAGCAATCCTTTGAACAGATAAGTTTTTTATGGTTATGGACTTTGGAGGCCTCATTGCCCCAGACCTGTATCGCATATATTGAGGAGTGCTGGTTGAATTGCACCCCTGTAAATAAGCTTAGTAGCGTTAGGACCAAGGCCTTGTGTGTTCTTAGCAATACTAATGAGGGCATTGGCTATCTTTTTAGCTTTGTCCATGATGTATTTGATGTGGGGTGTGAAGTTAAGTCTCTCATCAAGAATAACACCTAAATATTTAATTTCTGTTGTTTGCTTTATTCTGTGAGCACCTATTTGAAGGGTAAGCTTCCTGACGAGTGGCACGTTCCTACCAACTATCATGCTTTCATATTTGTCTGTGTTAATGGGTTGCCTATGCTTAATACTCCACAGGTCCTGTAAGCATTCACTGTTCCTGTGTGGCCCTGTACGAGGCAGCCAGGAGCAGGGTGTTGTTTAAGTGCAGAATAGAGTTATAGGCTATGTTCGGGACCAGGACCAGACCTGGTTCTCTGAGGACAGCCTCGAGTGATGAGTATGACCATGTTATTTTGTGTTGTATAAACACCTGCACTCCTGTTGCTAAGATAGGACTGAAGAAGTTTGTAAAGATTTTGAGGACAATGATAAGCAGGATAAAAGTCCACCAGGCATGATTGAAGGCACCTCTAAACAGTGGCGTAGCGTGGGTGTCAGTCGCCCGGGGTGGAGGAAAATTTCGCCGCCCCCTTATTTGGGTATCTCAATTTAGAAGACTACTTATTCTGTGATGAAACTGAATTTTAATGAAAAATTCCGTGCTAGTGTTGCCACCTTTTTAAAATTGCCGACCTGGACGGCAGATGAGGTTTGTTTGAACAGAAGTTCTTGACGCATGCGTATATCATTTTGCACTACATGCTCATTCTAAATCAGTTACAGTTAGCGACAAGGGAGACTTGGGTAGGAGTAACGTAAGTAATCTAGATGACTTAGTCCTATTGGATATTAGAGGTGTATATGAGTAAGAAAAAAAAGGTTGACAGGTTGCGCATGATATCCCTGGACGGCGAGTCGGATGGTAACACTATTCCGTGCTCATTTCAATCGATCTGAATCAGTATGAAAATACGAAATAAAATGGTTCAACTTCTTACAAGATATTATTATTATTATTTATTGTCAAATTTTGCCGCCCCCTACGCTACGCTACGCTACTGCCTCTAAAGTCAATAGTGATAATTGCAGTATGCTGATTGGTTTGTTTAGCCTGGTGGATGGCATCTACTGTGCCTTTGTTTTTAGAGAAGCCAATCTGATGCCTATTAATCATTAGACCATCTAACACTTTTCCTAGAGTTGGGAGAAGGCAGATTGGCCTCTATTTTTGTTAGTGCTGGTGGGTTTGGGAATCAATTTGACACTAGCCTTTTTCCACCGAGTAGGAAAAAGGCCAGTGTTCAAGCAGATATTGAAGAGAATTACAAATGCTGTAGGATTGGCCTCAAACATGTGTTTTATCATCCTAGTGGTTATGCTGTCAAGACCTGGGGCTTTGTTATCAGTGAGCAAACAGATGGTATTTGAAACATCAATATAAGTGAAGTTGTGGTTATTGTCTGTATAGGTAGAGTGAGTGTAGAACTCCGGATGACTGCTTGTGTATTGTCATTCTGCAGTGGGTCATCTGAAGGGTGAATACTAATGAGAATGTGTGTGATAGTTTCTCCTGTGTTGTTGGTGTAGTGACCATCGGGGAGCTGGATAGTGGAGGAGGTTTGGAGCTAGTGTTTTTCCTTACAAACTAAGTAATACTGTTTTGACCAGGGATTGTGACTGCAAGTGTTGGTCCTTGTTTTATTTATAAGAGTTTTGTAAGCATTGTGTTTGTGCCTGTACTGGTCTCTAAGTGTGACTTTAATATCTGGGTCCTATTCATTCCTAAATTGTCTCCTTAATCTCCTAACAACTTTTTTCTTGTTTTCTAGCTCGGGTCCACAAAAGAATCTTTTTGTGTTTACAATGTTTAACCTCAGAGGTAGTTAGAGTTAGTAGTGAGGTTGAGGCCAAAGTTTCAAATGCAAAAACGTGTACATTGGACATTCAGCTCCGCTTTCCTGCAAGCCTAGAAGTTTGACAATGGTGTTTGGAATGTCGAGCATGATTCCACTGACTATCCAAACGCCATTGTCAAACTTCTAGGCTTACAGGAAAGCGGAGCTGAATATCCAATGTACACGTTTTCGCATTTGAAACTTTGGCCTCAACCTCGCTATTGATTGTATTTGTAAGCCTGGTGACAAGATGATCTAAGGTGTCCTGAGTATAGTGACTGTGGTGAGGGGGTACCAGCTGAAATGTTATTGAAGGTGTTGCGGAATAATTGCCAGTCATTGCGAGCATAGTGAAAACTATGATTACTGGTAGTGTTCGGTTGGGAGAAGATATACCTATAGTCACTGGCAGAATCTATGTCGGTAGTGTAACAGTGGTCAACCCTAGGGGTGATGTGACTGTTTCCTAACGTTAGGTTGATCCAACTTTCTCCTGTGGTACAGGAGTAGGAGTAAGTCACGTGTCTAACAACTAAACGGGCCCAGTTTTCCATAAAAGTCCTCCCCGTTGACAGATCGCCCATGTGTTGCATTGCATTATTTCACCAAACTATCAACATAATTAAATTTCATAAAGCCAAATTGATGAGACAGTCGCATCAGGTAGAGCACTTTTGAAGCCTTGCCAGCAACTGTGTTAACGCAAAGGATGCTGCTAATATTTGTTATGCATGGAGGTGGTGCTATGAAAAAAACATGAGCAACACTAGCATTTAGCTACCTTTTCTACACCATTAATTATTTTTGTTTGTGGTGTAGGGATATTTTTATCACTATTGTAGCACATATGGCTAAAAATGATCTTCTAGCGTTTAAATGTTTCAGTATTTTAAAATAATTTTAAACATGCTGATAGATGCATTCCATATTTGAACTGTACTGGTCAAAAGCCTGAGGAATACCATGATTATATATTTTCACACGTATCAACTAAATAAAGATGAGAAAACCCGCCAAGTGTCTTAATTTATAACACTTTATTGTGTTAGAAGCATAAAAAAAAAAAAAAAACCATGATTATAGTCGAAAACGTTAGTTTTAATTAAAATTTGTTGTTACTGGGATATAATAAGGTTCTTGTGTGTGGATTAAATTTCATATGATTTCACAAGTGGACAGCAATGGCAAACATTTTTAAAAAAGGGCTTTCTTACACTACACACATGCTATGCAGAACAGCAAAGAAATTAGAAGCCTGTATCTTTAAAGGGGATTGTGGCAGAACCCAGTTCATAGAATCAAATTTGCTTGCATTAATCTCCTACAGCCTCTACTAATCATTTCGTTTTGTTGGGGTTTAATTTCTTAAAACCCTGTATACACTTCATATAGGCACTGTTGAACTAAGCTGGATACTATATTCTTTAGGGACTTGGCCACATCACGGATCCATAGATAGTATATTGGTTTTTTACTATTGTGGTGTGATAACAGAGATTTGTTCTTCACTGTCATTGAACAATGCAAAACTTGCAAATCATTTATTTGTACATGGAAATATGCATTGGATACATTCACCCCCTGTAAGTTTTGCCTTGCTTACTAGAAGGCAGAATGCCGGTATCATAAAAAAAAATCTGTATCAAAATTAAACTTATGTCATCACATTTGTAACTATTGTTCGATATGTAGCATTATTAAACTAAGCAGACTTTTAATAATGAAAAAGGTAAATTTGTTTTCTCTTATTGGCATGGAATTTCAAACAGCAAATTGTTATTCTACTGGAATATTCATTCTTAACAAATTAGAATTTTATGAATACTTACCGACGCATTGATTCCAATAATAATGCTGTAGGTATCCTTCGGGGCAGGAACAACGATAACCTCCCACCATGTTTTCACAACCGTGCTGACAACGAGCACCATCTGCACATTCATCAGTATCTATAGAAGTCAGAAAAATTAGTATTATGTGATATTATTATTTTAATTTCTTTATAATTAATCCGTTCGATCAGACCTATGCACATGGTTCCGGAAGAATCTGTGATATAACCTCTGGGACAGATGCATTTGAAACTTCCGGGTAAATTCATGCACGTTCCTAACGGTCCGCACAAATTGGCCTGTTCCGTACACTCATTCAAATCTGGTGTGTTAAAGTTGAAAATAAGAAATTTTACAGTTTCTCAACCAAGAAATATTAAGAGAAATTACAGAAGTTGATTTACCCAAACAGCGCGTTCCTACTAATTTAAAACCTTTGGGACAAGTACAGTGATAACTTCCTTGAGTGTTGATGCAAGTGTGTTCGCAACTGTGCTGTAAAGTGGCACATTCGTCTAAATCTAAAATCAAAATAAACATTATGTATTTATGTAAAGTCATAAAAAATATTTTTTTAAATAATAGTAAATTAATACAGTAGATCCCCCTATAAAACAGATGAAAAAATTGCAACCATATTTGTACAAACATGCTAAAAAAACTCGTATAATTCGGTAAAACGTCATCGCCGACTCGTGTCATGACAGGATTGGTTGAATCTAGACCAATAGCGTATATCGTACAAACAGTTAAGTTTAAACGAGCAGCGGACCTACTAAAAACCATTTATTATTTAACATCCATAAAAATTATATTTATATTAATGATATCTCCTAAGTTCAGCAAATTTTTTGCAAAAAAATAATTTATCAGGAAGCACGCGAGCGCCATTCAATGACAAGCTCAACAACAAAAACAAGCTTAAGCAATGGCATAGAACAGTGCACAATCGGTAAGTAATCCTACAATTTTTTGTTTATAGCATAGTTTATATAGATTAGTCCCAAAAAAATTATACGTATTTCGGAAATGTTGAGTCGAATTAGTCTAGAATCGATTAATTTTATGGAAGAAAACCTTTCAAACAGCCGTAGTCCGTAAACTGCATATGTGCTGGGCTGTGGTTGGCACATATATTTAAGGACTCGTAGAAAATGGATTTATAAAAACCGGAATGTATCTACCGTGTTATAGGGGGGTCGACTGTAATTGTATTTTACAAATTTATTTATTATTATTATTATTTATTAGGCATTAAGAGAAGAGGAGGGTGATTTGTTGTAAGTAATCTTTGAAATACTTGTATAATTCTGTAGATTTTCGTTGAACCCACAAGGTGAAGATATTGAGGATATTAAGTCCAGCTTATATTTTGCTTGGAGTGTATTATCTTCCTTGCAGGTGCAGATGATGTATTGTGGGAAGGTTACTTTCAGAGTTATTTAGAATATTCTGGAAGAAAAGAACTGCCCTGAGTGGGATCCGAACCGGCAAATCCTGCTTACCCTACAGATGCATTGCCCCTTATTCTACCTGGACCTTGGTCCAATCTACTCTATAGCCATGCTGGTTACTCACTGAGTGGGGGTGGCTTCGGTGCCTATGGCCTGTTGTGGCTCTTGTCCGACTTAAGCTTTTACCATGGCGTGATATATCAACTTATTTATTGGGTTATATTAAGTCTAATTAATCTGGCAGACATTTTATAAATCTAATGTATTAGGTTGACATTATAACTGTTTGATAGTATTATCAAAAGTATATCAGGTGGATGAATATGCTGTTATGGTAATTAGGAATGATTGAGAGTATACAACTCTGGATACAACCATTCTTAAGAAGATTGGTAAATTAGTAATAGTTGGGTTGTAGGAAATGGAAAGCAGATGGCTTTGTAATATTTGCCTTATCTGTGCACATACTGATGATGATTGAAATTCAATTTAAATATAAATCTCCAATGTCTAGACTTTGAAAGGCATTAGTGGATAAACCAAATTTCTGGAGGGCTTTATCTAATTGATTACTCCAGTTATTGATCAGCTCCAAGTGATTAATGGGTTTCTAAAATGATGAGAATAGTGAAGTATTGCATGTTGACTCTATTCTAATAGTATATTCAGGTATGAAGTATTCTAGTTTGTTGTGCTTGAATATGTTTCAAATAGATAGAGAGCAGAAGGCTAAACTTGAGGTTGTAAGAATGAATATAATAATTTTATAATCAAAAGATGATGGCAGACAAATTGGTAGATTTGATGGAATTCTCACAATTCATAAGGGTACAAAGATTTCAGAATTTAGGGGCTTTTAGCAGTCTTTCTCCATTACTGAATATCATGATTTTTGTCTTTTCAGGATTTACCTTGTAACGCCGATGTCTTTGTGCTGTTGGCTCCAATATTGGCCTGTGTAGACGACCATGTTGTTGATAAAAAACTCATCTGTAAAGGAGTTTGATTACAAGATCTCCGCAGCATGGCAGATCTTTCAAGTTGCTGCACATAAAATTCTCTGTTACCTGACGCATTGTTTATGGGCTGCATGATTGCCCAGACGGGTCATAGGTGACCCGTCTGTGCAATAATGTCCTGGGTCATACACTGAAGTAGATCACATTAAATTTAGAAACCTTCATATTATATTGTATAACTGTATAACAGTTTTCAAATAGTTTGTCTATTGCTTTAATAAAATTAGAGTCAGCTTTATCAGTAAGCTAACCAACAAATCATATATAGATAAGTACCATATCACAAGCACTTTTTAAATATACAAAGGCAGCATATAAGTTGACTTTTCTCCTTAACTGTTTTAGTACAGAGAGCCTTGTGGAATACAAATTAAGAGTTAGAGATTAGATCATTGCTGGTTGTCCAAGTTAAAAACATCACAGCTAAACCTCTAGTTTGAATTTTTCTGAGATTTAGGAGGAAGACAATTGGGCAGTAGTTGCAAGAGTCATTCATTCTCCCCTTTATATGGATAACGTTATTACCACAGTACAGGTATTCCACTCTATTTGGGTGTGTAGCATTAGTCTTATGGACAACAACAAAGTTTCTGTGGAAATTCAGTATGGGGTGGGAATTGGATGATAAAGTTGATTTGTTGATTTATCTCCAGAGGAGGTGAATGCATATTCTGCAGGAATGTCGCCTTTGGTACATTTCTGTGGAATACAGCATTAAAAATTAAGGGATCATCTTCTTTAACAAGATTAATCAAATAGCTACATCTCTTATTAATTAATAGAACTAATCCTTGTTGAGTCTGGTGTTTGCTGACATTTAATGGAAACAAGGAGCATTGCAGAGTAGGAAATTAGCTGTGCCAATTTAATCTCCAAAGATGATCCAATTATTGTCCAGGATAAGTAGTCATTGAAAATGGTGGATACTTCATCCAAGGGAAAGTTCTTCCTTGTTGCTGGTTGGGGAATTAAGATAAAGATATACAGATATAGATTTTTAGACTTACATAGCTTGTGATAAAGTTGAGGAAACATTTAAACTATAAGAGGTCCATATTTGTTTTCTCTAAAGGTTGAAATGGCAAAAGTACAATGGGGCTTTTCAGTTAATTAATGGGAATTGAAGTAAGCTGAATTTCCAAAATACCTGTGGTATTTAATGTTTCAGCAGGAATGTAAAAAGATTTAATAAAGCTCCAATAGAGTTGTATGTGAAGTTATTATTATTGTAGATAACAATAATATTAACTGCTTTTACATACAAGCTTTTTTTTTATCCTGATTCTAGTTAGAGTTGAGACAAATATTGGCATTAATGGAAGTCTTTGTCATCTAGAAAAATTAATTTTTCCTGTTCATTTTGAAAAAGATATCCAAATAAAATCACTTTGTTTGTCTAGTAAGAAACTGAATATCTTTGCTTCATTTTAAATTGTTCTCAATATCTTTCAATTTTTCTCTCTAGTTGTAGGATCTTATTGTACTACTTATCTGAATTCAGATTTCATGTTAAGGTGGTAATGATTTTGTGTCATTATTCTAACTCCCCAGATCTTTAAAATGATGACAGAAGTATCTAAGTTCCAATGTGGAGGGTAATCCTTGTTTTTGTCATAGGTCTGAAGTTTTCAATACCTCCAATTAACAAGCAGTATTATCACAACAATAAGATAATGATAAACTTTCATTATGCAGAGAAATTAATAAAAACATTTAAAGCAAGTAGTACAATTGTTGTGCTCAATCACATTTTTAACATCATATTATATTAATAAAAAACAAGTTAAAATAGATTAAGGAACCTGCTACTGAGAACTATGATTAATTTACCTTTACATGTTACTCCATCCGGACCCAACACATAACCTTTGGGACAAGAACATATATAACTTCCCTCTGTGTTTTGACAGGAGAATTTGCATGGAGAAGGTACCTTTTCACATTCATTAACATCTAAAATGATAATTACAATACAAATTATTAATATAAAATAAAAAATGTTTAGAGTCACATAACACCAAAAGTATTAAGTTATGACAATTGTTCTCACCAATGCAATGTGTTCCCGAATGATCTGTTTTATAACCTTTGTTGCATAGACAACGATACGATCCTAGAGTATTGATACATCGACCATTCTTGCACAGGAAGGGCATAATCTTACATTCATCCACATCTGTATGATAAAAAAAGTCAAAGAAAATTTTCTATTACATACAAACAATATACTTCCATTCATGGAATTTAATTTTTTTCATAGAAATCAAAAAATGATCTTACCTTTCCCATTTTGGGTGATGCCACTGCCATGTGGACAAAGAACTTCATAGTCCTCTACATATATATAGATTTAAAATTAAACTTAATTAGCAACAAAACTTGTTAATTAATTTAATTTTCACTAAATCTGCTATTTAAAACAAAACGACCTACTCGTTCCTCTATGAGGGCATATTTCGCACTGGGGTCCCCAAGCCGCACCCATTCCACAACAACAGTCGGCCTTGGTCATTTCTGCCAGATCCGCAGTGTGCGTTGTGCACACTCCTCCAGCGGCATGAATGAAACAGTATCCAGTTCTGTAATCTAAGAGAATAAATAACACAGATTTATATTCATATTTAAAGCAACTTATTTATAGATTTGTTAAATGTTTGTCTACAAGGACTAAGCTTATTAATAGGATGTATTTAACTGGTGTTTTGGTTTTTTGCAAAAAACCAAAACATCAGTGCAATACATCCTATTAATAAGCTTAATCCTCGTAGACAAACATTTAACGAATTGTAGAAAATAAGGACATAGAGGCATATGAATTATTTATAAATACTTAATACAGTCTAGAACAGTAATGTCAAATCAATATTCCACCAACTCCAAGTCTGAAAATTTGTAATAAAACTTAAACCGAAAAATTGACAAAATTTATTTTAAATTGATTGATTTTTCAATGCAGCTCAACATGAAAAGAAAGGCTATTGATGAAACAATGGAAAACTACGTAATGATTTTAATACTTTAATTTAGATAGTTAGTTAGCCTAATAAATAGGATTTAACAATTTGGAGGCCAACAGAAAAAAAGACTAGATCTTTTACAAAATTGAAGGTTACTATTAAAGACTAACTATTTTGTAAAAGATCTGGTCTTTTTTTCTGTCAGCCTTGTTGTGATAAGCCCTCCAAATTGTTAAATCTTTTTTATTAGGCTATCTAAATTAAAGTCATGGGCTAAACGCATCATTTATTATGATTTTAATAGTGTTAACAATATTTGTGAAACTTCATTTAAGTACAAATTTTTATTTTTTTCTATAAAACAAAAGTGTTTAAAGGCAGAAAACACTAAAGTGAAACTTGTGTGACAATGTCACAAATTACAAGCCAAATATTATCATCTTACAATTAATAGAAAAAATATACAATTTTAGTCTTTGTTTTATTATTTAATATATCTTAAAAATACATTTTTTTTGTGATGACTAATTACAGAACATTAAAATAAATATAAATCAAACATTGATATTCATTGTTAATATAATAAGTTTAATTAATTTAGTATGATCCAGATTAGAAAGAGAGAGGAAAAGTTATGGACAAACTTACCGACGCATTCTTTTTCATTTGCAGTAGTTTCAAATCCTTCAAAACATTCGCATCGGTAACTTCCTCTGGTATTGATGCAGCGACCATTCTGGCAGATTCCTTGTATCACAGCACATTCATTTATGTCTGAAATTATTATTATTATTATTACTAATTTTTTTATGATGAGCTTAAATGAAAACATCATTTCATTTCTAGATAAGTTAGCTCTAACAATTTACTCATTTACTGTATAATACATATTTTTCATAGAAGCCAAATTATTAAATGTACTTTTGATGCTTAATTAACATTAGCTTACCTCTGCAGTCATCGCCGGTGCCCACCTGCTGATATCCTTCGGGGCAAATGCACATGAACGAGCCGACTAGGTTTTTACATTCGAACCTACAATTATTAGCAGGAGTTTCGCATTCGTCCAGATCTGTAAATTGAAATTTGGTTTGCATTTTATTTCAGTAATTTGTTATAAATGTGATAGCATATACTCTATATTTTAAATGAGATGCTGTTTGCTCTTTTAGCTATATAAAAGAGAATTGCTGTTTATTACAACAATTCTCTTTTATATGGATAATTCATCTGAGAATTTTTAATATGTTTGACATTAAAGATGAATATTCTATAATGGACAGAATTAATTCTAATTTGTAAATTTCTTCCTTACCTTCACAATGTTTTCCATCAGCAGCGAGTTTGTAACCGGCAGGACAGATGCAACGGAAGGTACCTGGCATGTTTTGACAACGGAAGGCGCAGACCACATTTCCTATCTCCAAGCATTCGTCCACATCTGCAATTTTTGAGAAAATATAGAAATTGGCTTGTCAATTAATTTATAATCTTTAAACGTTTATATGGTGTGATTGTAAAATCACTCCACAATAGGCAGGGAAATAGAAGAAGCTTCCAGGAATAAAATAATGAAGTCACAGATTACCTGGGCATGCCCACTGTGGAACAACTTTATATAATTTTATAATGGAAATAGTAAATCCATTCATAACAATTTCATATTAAGTACTTTCAGGCTAACTTTGCTTCAAGAGAAACATGAAATGAAAAACTCTTCTTATGCTGTGACCTAAGTGTATTGGAAAACTTTTATAACATCCCACAGATTCAAATTCTGTACAGAAAATTAATGAATTCGAAAGGAAAACAGTCTAATAAATTTCTGTAATACAAAAAAAATGTGTTGGTAGTCTAGTGTTATTATTTCTAGTATCCAAAAAACAATAAACTAATTAATTGAATGCATTATGTTAATTTAAAATCAAAAATTTAGAGACAGGAAAAATGATCACCCATTAACGACCTTTAATTAAATAATTTAGATTGTAATTACCTTTGCGCAAGAGATGTTAGATGAGAATTATATGTAAATTGTTACAAACTTATCCCATTCAGTAAAGGGGATGTAAACCCAACAATAACACACACTAGATTCACCATCCTTCCCTCGAGGGTTATCAGATATTGAGAAGTTCTCATCTCCGAGCATTTCGGTCTGTACAATATTTAACATATGAAGAACTCACTGAATGTACCTTAATTTCACTGTTAGGGAGTCATCTCTGATAACTGTTCCAAAGAGAACATAATCCTTTTTATATATCCACTGGCAGAAATTGAAAGTGTTATACCCAAATGGAATTGATAGAAATTCACGAAACTTGGTAAATATGTATAGGGGCATACCCAGAAGAAATGAACAAAAAATGAAATGAATTATGTACCAAACAGCAATAAAACTTTGCATGTTTCTGTAAGAGGAATGACCATGTTGATCTTGGATATACTCTTGGATCCTTGCAGGCATTGAATCAATAAGTGCTTGAATGTCTTGTTGGGATATATCTCTTCATACCTGTACAACTTGTGCAATCAGTTGTACAGTGCGCGCTGGATGGCTATGAGACGTAATCCGTCTACCCATGGCATCCCAGACATAGGGAATAAATCTGGAGACTGGGCATGCCAATCCACGATTGCAACACTTTACGAGGCCTGTCTTGTGATGGCAGCAACATGAGGAAGGACATTATTTTGTTGGAAGATACTGTTTTGCATGGTGTTCACGAAAGGTATGACTACTGGATGGATCATCCTGTCCACATACTGGCGAGCAGTCATTGTGCCTTCAACAACCACCAACTCATCCTGCTGTCGTAACTGATTGCCCCCAAACCATGACACCAAAAGTTGGATCTGAGTGGCATTCTGAAATCACAGCAGGGTGGGCTCTTTCTCCAGCATGCCAGTGGACATGTTTCTGACTATCACATGGGCGTAAACAGAACCAGGATTCATCAATAAACACAACTGTACACTATTCATGTGCCCAATTACATCTAGCAGCATACCATGTTAGCCGTTGTTGGCGATGAAATCTGGTTAAGGAACACATTGCATGGGGGTCCAAGATCTCAGCCCAGCATCAAGCAATTGGTTTACAATTGTCTGTGTGGTGACTCTGGCAGTAACTACTACTTGGATCTGTGCTGCCATCACACATCTGTCAGCAACTTCCATCTGCGCAATATGACGGTCTTCACGTGGCGTTGTCCTTCTGCATGAAACTGTGCCAGGTCTGCGAGTGCTGGACCCTTCCTGCATCCACTATATGACCACTCTTTGTACTGACATTGCACCACGGCCAGTCCTTCAGGCAATTTTGCAATATGATGCTCCCATTTCTGACATGCCAATTATCTGACCTCTTTCAAAGTCAGAAATTTGGGTGTACAGAGTTCTCACTTGTCAATATGGCATAGTTGGTCACCAACAACACGTGGACCAAAAAAAGTCATATTCCATAACACAGTTCACAACTTATAAACTAAACACTATAGTAATTTTGCATAACAAATGTCTCCATAATTTCCATACCACTGTATGTACTTCGTTTAATTTTTGATCATTCAATACCCTTCAAAAAGAGATTCTTTTGTCCCAATTTCATATGTCTTTGAAAATATTGAATGGGTGTAACACTTTCAATTTCTGCCAGTGTATATCCTAGTAGATCCTTTCCAAATATGTATATCTTAGTGGTTTGCAATACTTGGGATAAAGACCTGGATAACAGGAAGAACGTTTCTTTCTTCTTTCTTCCTGTTCCTGCATATGCTTCCTCCTTGAACAATCTCTTAAGACTGCTTGATGGTTAGGTCTGAAGAGAAGAAGCCCAAAAAGGAAAACTTATTCTGACACTCACCTGACGGAACAAGATCATTATTGCCTCCAGCAACAAGTATGCAAGAGTTATTATAAAATCACAGGGTGAGAATAACACAATAAACAACACAAATATGGGAATAATCTAAAATTCCTGAAAACCATTTGTAATAATATTGAGCAGTCAAAGCTAGACTCAATATTCCAACAATTATGTAAATCTTGCCAATTGAGCAAAATTATTGTCTGAGGATTTGTCACATCAGTTAACTGAAGACTGGACATAAAAATAAATGTATATGCCAAAAATATAATATTTATAAAATTGTTTTGGTACTATTACATATGAAATGTCATTCTGTAAACAAAATGTATTTTCCTGAAATGTATAAGTTACTTATAACAAGATTATAACAAAAAATTAGAGATGGGTGAATACTGTGCTTGAGTACTTGAGATCTCAAATAGTTCATTGGTAAAAAAATAAGTTTGAATGCTATGAATATCTCCAATATTGTGCTTACATACAGTCACAGTGGTAGATCCAGAAATACCTAAAGGAGCTAACTCAAAAATTGAAAACATCGAATTATGTGAAGTTTCAGACCAAGTCTGAACCCATTATTAATTGCGCTAAAAATATTTTAAAATAGAAGAAAAGAAATTGTAATAAATAAACACGATGTGATAGTAAACAATGTGAGTCCCAAGTGCAACTCAGACACATATTAAGCAATAAATCAGTGTCAGGCTGGATAGTTCAAACTTTCACTCTGATGCTCATATACAAATGATTAAGGTTATTAAATGAGTTGGGAAACAGAGGTTTGACAGTTAACATTCTGAAATGTCAACAGAGAATATAACAATCAAAAATATGAGTGCAGGTTTTGAGGTTCCATCAACATATCTGTCAGAGTTGAGGGATAGTATCGGGTTGAACACCTAAGACTGGCCTTTCTTGTGACCCAATTTGATCTTATTTCCACCTGGAAACAAGGGAGGAGATCAATCAAAAAATGACGAGAGGGAATTGGAACCAATCGGAGAGGAAATTTGGGGATAAAATTCCTTAAATACTCTGGATTTCAAAAACAAAGAGCAGATTTCTGTCATTTCCATATTATCAAAACTGATCCATGCTCTCTTCTTGTCTGTGTGCGCCACTGCTTGGAACAAAGTTCTGTCATTCCTACCTGTGCTTTGCCATTGTTCTCCATCTGCTGGACTATCCATGACATTGCCTTGGGGTACCAACCACTTAGCATTTGTGGACACTCTATTGATCTTTGTCAGAGAGGAGCATCTCTCAAAACACTTTGTAAGCTCTTCTTATATAAAGAAACCATGTTTCATTTGTAAAAGTGCCTGAGTCATTGTGTGTCCACCACTACCCACATACAGTTCTAACCCCTCGTACATCCTGATGAGAGTTTAATTAATTCCCCCTTTCTGGCTCGGCAAACCTAACAATTAACACATGCAACAATTGTAGTTTGATAAATCATATCTAGCATCATAGACAAATAGTAAACATAAACATGTACAAAACATTCTGCAAGTCAGAAACAGAAACATTCGGTTTTTTCACTTATTTTTACAGAAATTATAGGTAAACAGCACATATAGCAAGCAAGACTTTCAATTTAACACAATATATCAATAAGCAAAGCTACTTTTTAATTTATATGGTAATTACATGTGTTCACTGTCTAACACTCATTTACCCTAAACTCTTAACACAGGTGAAATTGCTATGCACTTTTATGGTTTTAGTAGAGAGATTGGGTCACATTTTTTTGAACATCTAAGCACGGAAAGTAAAAAAGTTTAGCTTAAAGTTGAAGCGATTAAATATGAACAAGTGGAAAAGAAAGTAAAGAGAATATGCCTTCTTTGTCAATAACACATTATGTCAGATATCAGAAACTTTCTGAAAACTAGTTTAATTTTCAAAGGTGGATCATTCAAATTTAAAAAATTCTACTGTATATTATAATAATAAATATAAGAATTTTTAATTATTATTAAACGTTCTTCATTTCCTTCAAATAAACAAATAATTATTTTAAAATATATTCATACCTATACAAGTTTGTTTAGGTCCAGGAGTAAATCCTTCTCTGCAAGAACAGGTAAACGTTCCTATTTCATTTGTGCACGTGCCATTACCACAGATATTAAACGTCAAACATTCATCAATGTCTGAAAAATAATTACGAAAATCAAAATGTAACCAGGATTTCAAGTAAATGAAAAAAACTAAATATATAAAAACTTTTTCTAGTTATTTCCATTCCTATTAGTGAAGCAATATTTCCTTCACTGCACAATTGTTTGACAAATAAATATTAATTTAACTAATAATTAGACATTGTTAATTTTATGTTTCATTTTTTATAAATATTACAAAAATAAATATTTTATTTTCTTGAATAATATTAAAAATAAAATCATTTTACACGTTAGAATATAGTAAACTTTTTCGAGATTCAAATAAACCAGTGGTTCTCAAAATATGGTGGTAGGGACTGACTAATCTAGACACTTTTATAAGGTGCAATTCTATGCCATTTAACTGAAGAAAAAAAATTATTTTTATTTCTTATGTCAGATTACCAGATATTCAAAATATTTTGAAATGTATCTAAGGGGATTTTAATGGGATAAGAAGAATAAGGCATGGTTGGTTGTGATCTGTTAATCTATAGGACTGTAACTTTGAGAACCATTAACTTTGACTCAATTAAAATTTTAAATTTATTAACTCCTATATTTATGTTGAAAGATCAAATTTAACAGACGATACCTACCGACGCAGATGTTTCTAGAAGGGTCGAGTCTGAATCCTTCCCGACACTCGCAACGATAAGAACCGTCGGTATTGATGCATCTTCCATTTTGACAGAGGGTGGGATCCATCATGCACTCATTTATATCTGCATTAAAATATTTTGGACTAACTTAATCTAAAAGTATGCCAAATTATTAACTTTATTTATGCTATGAATAAACTTTCTTGGTTTTAGTAGTGTAAAAAATATATTTTTTTGTTAATTGCCAAAATGTATTTTATCCAGTTAAAGTGATTACTACCATAAAATGTTGGAATTTCTTAGAGAGATAAAATACATACAATTACAAATGATACTATAATAGTTATTAAATATAACATAAATCACAAAACCTTACAATCCAGCAGGAAGTTTTGTAGAATAAAAATTTTTGATTGTCTCGGATGATCTCAAACTTTCATAACCTTCAATGACAAACTTGACAACCATTTAAGACAGTCAAAGCAATTCCATCTGCAAAACTTAATGTAACAAATATTGCCAATGCAGGAAGTTTCTGTGTTATTGGTATGTGTGTCAACATCTAGAAACTTCCTAACAATGTGACATTTTCTGCAAGAATCATTTGTGTAATGTATCCTTCAGGATGTTTTCTATAGTTTTTAGTATTTATGATCTGATCTTAAATGGCAATCGTAAACCCATCTCTCCAAATAGGCTGTTCTCAAGTAATATGCTAACAAATTAACAGGGAAATGTATATCATGCTATTCTAATGAGTTTACAATGAATTCCATTCTTTTTAGAAAGAGTAAATGGTCATTCACTACATAAATATTCTTTGAGCTTATTATTATTCTAAAACTATTTAACAGCAATGCTTTAATTATAATAACTTGTTTGTCATTTTTGTCAATAACATAGATATAATAATAAATTTCAATTCTGATTTGATACTATTGAACGTAGTATTGTGGCCGTCAGCCATAGTTTATATATATATTTTTGTTAACTTTAGCTAGGCTCAGTATTTCCTTTGTTCTTTTGTCTTATCTGTTCTAGAACTTTCTCCCTTAATCCCTATTCCCTCGGGTGACATCACTGATTCTGTGAAACAATGTCAAGAGACAAAAGGAACAACAAGCCCCTAGGGAGAAAGGAAGTGGAAAAAGAGAAGAAACTGGGACTTCGTCGAGAGAGGACGGAGAAACGAGTGCGGTCCTGACCGAGGAGTCGAGCAAGGAGTGAGAAAAAAACCTTGCGAAAGAAGGCCGAAGGAGGATCATACCTTGATCGCCTAGAGAGAGATCAGAGGTGTCGGAACCTTGTAAGAGACGGCTGAATCATAGAGTAACGTAGGACCGTTGCTAAGAAATCGAGTTTCCCCAGATTCAAGTAACAACAAGCAGGAAGACCACAAGACAACCCCAGAAAACGTAGAGGTTCATAAAAGGAAAGAAATTAAGGTCTGGAGCCATTCAAAGATTCAAGATGGTGAATCATCTGAGACCACGTGGTAGTGAAAAATCCCGGGTATTTTCCCTTTTATTCTACTCCTATCCTTATCTATATTTTATTTCTCCTTCCTTAGTTTGTAAGTAGGTTAAGTTTTAGTTATAAGTCGCCCCCACGTGTTTTGTTTCCGTTGTCCCGTGTCGGTTGCCACCACAGAAAATTGTTAGTGTAGATGATTATGTTATGTATATCGAACCCAATAGGCTGTAAGTTGGAATCATTTTAAAGAACCTGTGTTTGAGAATAAAAATCTTTAGTATTCTTACTCGTTTTATTTGTTTCCTGTTCGCAATAATACGAACAGGAAACAAATAAACGGAACATCACAGTATATTTCTGTTGATGGGTAATTTTATATAATTTATACAAATACAAATAAAATTCAAAAATTTTATTTATATTTGTAAATAAGATATAAAATAAAAGATAAACAAATAAATTTATGTATTCTAATATAAATTTTCACCTTCCATTATTCCATTTTGTGAAATGTATCCAAAGCCATCTGGACAAAGAATTCTGAAACTTCCTAGAAAAAAAAAAAATACATTTTAATGAATGCATACAAATATTTTGATTTACAATTTTTATATAGAAACTGATGTATTTTTCTAAAAGAAAATTTAAAATAACTATTAAAAAAAAGATATTAAATGATTCAATAATGTAAAAAGTACCTTCGTTGGGAGATGGACAGATTTCGCAGGGATCTGCACCCCAGGCAACAGTACCCTTCATGCAGCAACACTCTCTCCTCGTCATGTTGGTTGCGTGGGGACTTAGACAGATGCCGTTTTCAAATTTTGTGTAGCAAAAGCTTTTTCGGATGTCTAAAAGATTAAGTGCACGTCATAATGAATAATTGTATTTGAATGTTAAATACACAAAGAAATGTTCTCATTTGTATAAGGTTAAATGAAATGGAAACATACCCAAGCACTCTTTGCCATCCGAAGAAACCATGAAACCTCTCGGACACGTGCACGTAAATGATCCTTCAGTATTGACGCAGGTTCCTCCGTAACACAGAAGCGGAATCGTACGACACTCGTCGATGTCTGGAATAAACATCAAACCATTCGTTAAATATGTTGCGATTTCTTGAAAATTCTCTAAATTAACTTTTATTGGTTTTGTTACTTTTCCAGAGAATGAACAATTTGGGTGCCATAATTTTAACATTTTTGAAATTAAATCTGTATATGAAAATAATAAAAAAGATATTTTTTCAGAACTTCAAATTATGGCTTTACCTTCGCAGTCTATCCTGTCTGGCGTTAGACGGAAACCGTCGGGACAATTACATTCAAATGAACCTTCCGAGTTTCGACAAGTTCCTTTGGTACAAATATCTATTTCGCTGCATTCATTGATATCTAGTAAATATATATATTTTTTTTATTACATCAAGATTATCAAATATAATATACTTTGAGATTTCTACTGCTTTGCCTTTACTCTTGCAATTTCTATCTACTCTAAACATTTTTGAATTGTATTAATTAAATCTGTCATCAAAATTTCACCAAGAATTTACATTTGTGATTATAGATTTTATCGAATGCAAGAAGAGCTTACCTTTACAGGTACGTCCGTCGTGACTAAGAACGTAACCTTCTTGACACTGACATTCGAAACTACCGACCGTATTTCTACATCGTCCGTTTAAACATATGCCGAACTGGATTTTGCATTCATCGATATCTTAACGTTTCAAAAAATGTATTATTACGTAAAATTTTGTATTAATGAGACGTTTTTAATAAAAAAATCTTACCAAAACAGTCTCCGGTCGATAACAGTTGAAAACCTACATTACATAAGCATTGATAGGAGCCGGGTGTGTTACGACAGGTTCCGTTGGAACAAATTCCGGGACTGCGAACGCATTCGTCGATATCTATTTAGTAGGTAAACAAATCAGTAAATTCTGAATAAATTTAAATAAGATTTACTTAAGTAAATCTGAAAAAAGATCTACTTTACTGGTTGCTCATTATTTGGCTATAAACTAAAAATTATCATAATTATGGTATCTATAAAGCATAACGTGACTAAAATTATCCGTTTTTTGGTTAAGTAAAACAAATTCAAATTAAATATAAGCATATAAACCTATACTAAATATTAAGTCAGAACAATTTTTAAATATTTTATAAACTCCATTAATGTCAATATTATCATTTTTATCTAAACAATTAATTTTTTATATTTATCTTTATAAAATTTTTGACAATGATGCCTAGTTTAAAAATATTTGAAGCTAACTCACACTACCTTCAAATGTTATTAGATTCATTACCTACTTGAAATCTAGAAACATCAGTACAGAAACCAATTAGACACCAAAAATATTTAATATAAAGAACGTTTTCATCTGTATCAACTGGACAGCTTCGGGTTACATAAGCATATTAAAGAACAGAACACAAAATTTGAATTTTTTAAACAGCCAAGGTTTAAGTGCACCCTATGCAGAGAATGTATATCGTAAAGAGAAAAACATTACACAGTTAATAAAATAAGAATACTTTGATTAAGATGTCTGGTTGATATGGAGTTAAACGAACATCAAAAATATTAATATAACTGGTTTGGTGTACTGGTGTGTTTTTAGATAATATATAACAGTTCTTAAGGTGTTTAATATGCTATTTGATAGTATTTTAATATATTTCTTTCTTAAAAAATTTAATTTCAAGGATCTTCAAACTTAATTATATATCAGAATAAAATTTCATTTAATAATTATCTTAATAATAATTTCTCATTAATAAACAGAGAAACAAATTTATATTGTACTGTATATCTATTACATTGAGATTCAGAAATTAATTTGTTACTTCAATATTTCCTGCCTTAATTATTAATTTGCACAAAAGGATGTTAAATGGAAATTGTATTATTAAAAACATTAATTCAATAATAAGAAGTTATTCAAAATAAATTTTTTGTAAATAAAACTTAATAATTTACATAACATTTTAAAAAAATTTATGATTACAAATATATGGGATGTACCAAAAAGAATACCAGAATTTTAAATAATTCATATGGTTATACTGTATAAGTAAATGTACACTTTTAATCTAAGTGCGAAAAAAATTAGCTATGGAAATTTTGACTGGTAACACCAAAAAGCTTGAAGTACCACTGCCCAAACAACGTGGCTCTGTTCCTGCAGCCTCCGAGATTCAACGACATCACCTCACACAATTTATTTCTGTGGAAGTACATAAAAGATCGAGTTACATGCCACCACTATCTTCAAACATACCAGACTCGAGACAAGGGATTGTTAAGATCGTTGCATCTGTTACACCGGATTTGTCGACCAGAGCATGGGAAGAACTGGACTACCAGTTGGAACATGTGCCACACAACAAAAGGTTCCCACATGGAGCAATTGTAATGCATGTTATAAAAAATTTGTACATTCCTCTTTCATATCGGGTATGGTTTATTATTTTACATTACCAGTAAGACAAATTATACATATTTAAAACTTCATTCTTTTTGATACATCCTGCATATATCAGTGACATCAAAAATTAAAAAGTTTGGATGTCATATTAAAGTCGAGAAAATATGCTTTAATCTGTGCTTATCCACTGCAAACATCTTCCATCTGTTATGTTATAAATTATTACTGATTATGAACTTTTTAATCAGTTCTTTTCCCATAATCAGAGTAATGCTAGTAACAAACACTCATCACAATTTTATAAATTTTTTGATTTTATGAGCTCTGAGGTGAGATATGTTATTACATCAAAGTTTAGATTTTGAATAACCAATTAAAGTAAGATTAGAAATATAATGTGAAATAAGATTGGAAAAATTTGCTATTTTTCATAATAGAACCGATTAAACTCGTTACGTATGATTCCGTTTGTTTTATAACTTAATTTACATATTTAATATATACTTTCAATTACAACAACGTCACTTGCCTAAACATTTATCTAGAGATGGAGATAAATAATATCCTACATCGCAGGTACATTGAAAACTTCCTTCTAGATTCTGACAGAAGCCGTTCTGACATATTCCACGTCTTTCCAAACACTCGTCGATGTCTGAAATAAAGTTTTCAAATGTAAATAATAAATAAAATAAATTTTAAAAAATTATATTAATTATTTAGATTATTCTGAATGATATTCTTCAGTACAATTCTTATCTGTGCTATTTCTAATATTAAATTTATTGAAAAAGTATGCTTTTTAACTTGATATGTTTTTTCTATTTAAATGTATAATCATTTTATGTATAGTTGTATACTAGGTTTTAGTATTTCTGCATACTGTATTATATGAATTATTTTACATGTTAGACATAGCTTTGTAATCTAAGCTTAAACAATCCGAAGCTTTATCTAACATGTAATATTTTGTATGTACCATGTAAAATATAAGAGCTACAACTATTTTAATATTTTAGAAAACTGAAATATATAATATTGATAATATGATATAAAACTTAAAATAAATCTCTACTTGAAAGAATTATTTAAAGTAAGAGATTTAAATTGGACAATCTTCATTAAAAAGAAAGCTAAAACAGATTTCTAATATTTTCTAATGTATTTAAATATTTTTGTTTCTTGATTTGAAATCATCATCACTGGAACAATCAATATAATGTTATTTCTGTGATCGAAACAAATATGAATGAAATAAATTAAACCAGTGGAACCAAATTAATCTTATGAGAAAAAAATTATCTAAATATTGCTTTTTAAGTAGTTAATAATTTATAACTCCAAAGTTTATTAATTCTAACAGTTTATAATTTATAAATTTGTGTGAGAGTGTTAATGATTAGAAAAATAATAATAATAAAGTATCTATTTCTAATGATTCTTCAAATGATTTATTGTTTATGTCTTCAAACAAATTTGAATGTAATAAGAGAGTTTCTAAATTTATTATAATCTAATTTATTTCAATTACTATTTTTATTTTTAATTACCTTATTACTTTAAATTTAAGCCACACTTTTTATTCCAATTTTGAAAGCGTAAAATTCAAAGTAAATATTTTAACTTCTTATTTCTGCCGATCTCCCACTCCCCAACAATTGAGTCTTTGCTTTACACTCTACACATGCACACAGTATTAATCATTAATAGCAGTTTACTCGGCAGTTTCCTGGTCACACTTTTCTGATTTAATCCAGGTGTGCGTGATAGTGGCCAAGTAAAATCAAATTTTAAATGTTTTTATTACCCATACTCATTAATAATGGAAAAATGGTTTACATATGTACCAAATTCAAAAGAAAAGTTATATTGTGCAGTGAAAAAACTGGAAATTGCACAGTTGGTAAAACATTTATGGTTGACAAAAAGGATGTGCGTCATTGGAGAGTGATGAAGGAAAAGTTATTTCAGTGTAAAAAAGACAGAAAATCATTCATGGGACCCAAAACTGAAAGATACCCTGCAATTGACCCAAATTGTATATATAAAATCTGTTTTAAATTTTATTTTTTCCAATTTTAAACTCCCACTGTAGCTTAAATTTGAGAATGGCTTATATTCAAAGTAATACAGTATTCCATACAATGAATGTCTTAGAATGAATAAATATTTAATCATTGATATTTTGATATATTAACCACACAATTTTATTTACCTAAGCAGTCCCTTCGACTCAGCGATAATTTGTATCCGTCAGCACAACGGCACTCGTAGCTGCCCGGTATGTTTATGCATTGAGCATTTCCGAGACACACTTCTGAGGTCTCTACACATTCGTTAATATCTAAATAGGGAAAATGAATATTTTAATTAGATCTAATAATAAAAATCCATTTTTGTTTTTAATTATCATAATTTAAAAAGTTTGTATGCACAGCTCAAATATATGTTTTAAAATAATATGAAGTTAATGATATTTTAAATGTCATTCTATTTAAATAAAAATGTGCAAGTTTTCAAAATCTTATGTTGTTTAAAATTGTTGCAAAAAATAGAAAAAATTTTTTATAATTTTTATGTTCATTCATATAGAAACTATGTATATTATTTGAAAAATTATATTCCTGTAGATAACTAAAATTTATTTATGCTATCATTGATACATTTTGATTGATACTTATAAAATGAAAAAAAAAATCAATCAAACAAAATTGATTCATATCTTTTTATAAAAATATAAAAACCAATATAAAAGTTATAAAAAATTAATAATAAATACAAACTGTTATAGGAACGGGCACAGTATAAGACTAAGTGTGTAATCAAGAAAAAGATACTAACAAATGAGAAGCGCGCACACAAAAAAAAATTACTCAAACTTATTACAGATGCTAATAAGCCAATATTTATTTACGTAATGTAAGTTTAATCTGCCAATGCAGAGGATCACCCCAAAAATCATAACACTGAAAAGCTCGATGAAGAAAAAATCTAAAACCTGTCAAATTTTTTATCATTAAGTTATTTTTATGATGATTATAGAAGTGAATAAATTTCTATACTCATTATAAAAACAATCATAATCATAAATCAACTACATTCACCACTATTGACACACAAAATCACTATTTCATCATCATACATGATTAATAACAAAAATTCTCAATGGTAGAATAATATGTTGTGGACACTAACTGATTTGGGTCTCAGTATTAATTACTGTAATGTTTAATAAATTATAAACTCAATTATTATTCTTTATACATAGTAAATGTAGGTAAAATCGAATTCTGTTTAATACATGTTTTGAATGCTTTGATTATTTATATAATACTAATATAGACATCACATTAATAAAAAATTTCAATAATTCTTTACATGATAGTTTTTTAAACAAAGAAAATATGTTTTCAAAATAAGAGCATTTTTCTTATGTTTTTATAATATATAAAAGACAAATTTACTTACAATTATTTCTCCACAATTTCTTTTAGATTATAAGATAAAGAGGAATCAACATATTTTATATTTAACAAATATTTGATTCATTAATTTGTCTCAATTTATTTTAAGATATCATTAACATTTTAAAACCATTTCTGTGTTAACGAAAATCTTCTTGAATTCATTAGTAAAATATTACAAGTTGAAGGTTAAATGAGCTGGCGATTATGAAAGCGGTCCAAGTCAAAAATCAGAAAAAAAATTGAATTTATTTTGCAAACTATTCGTAGAATTTTCAGTTAAACCAAAAAAAAATTATTTTATAAGAGTAAATAACTTACATTTGACTTTCTTTTAAAGATTATTTTTTTGGCTTTAATTCTTACAAACCCAGAAGACAATGTATCTCCAAATAACAAATATATGACATACTATTTTCATAATCACTGGCTTAAATACAAAAAAACATTTGAAGTCTTCTTATAAGTAATTGTGACAGCGGCAAGTTATATCTGATGTAAAATTTTTAAAATGTACTATCGATACATCTAAAGTTTGTTATTCATCAATTATAAATACAATTGGTAAATTTAAAACTTTTTAAAATGAACTACAATACAATAACCAGTAATCTAATTTCATTCACATTAGGAAAATNAGGGGGAAGAAGAGAAGACCCAGGAATCCTTTTTTGTTGTTATATACCTCGGATGGATTGCTGGTAAACAATAGTCGATAAGTTTTGAAATTTAATTTGATTACCTCTTTCTTGTACCGGTCCATCTTGCATGGACTATCTTCATACAGTTATCTACACTGGCCTTCTTAATGCTGGAAGATCTTTGTCTTCAGCACCATATTTTCAGGGACCTACTTTCTCTCATTATTCTCACAAACCAGGGCCACTACTAAAGTTAAACCCTCAAGATGTTGGATACAGTTCTCCGATATTCTCACGAAAAATGTCCGTAATTGCCTCAGATTGTCCTGGCCGCAATCTCAAGTACGACTTGACTGCACCTCTTGTCACCATGAGGTCTCCACCAAATCTGAGCTTTCCCACTCTTTCGATTTCCTAGAGAATTGTTAACTCTTTTGTTTCCCAATGTCCGTTCTGAGAACCGGTAAATCCACTTGAGAAAAAAGGGATTAAGACAGAAAGATCTAGGATAGTCAAGACAAAGAACGAAGGAAATACTATGCCTAAAATATAAAATATATATCAATACAACAATATACAATAATATGGCTGACAGCCACAGTATGAACCAAACTTTTTGAAAAGAAGAATGCCATTACTAAGGGGGAAAAAAACCCTTTAAAAATTCAAATAAAATTGTTTTGATTTTTTAATGCTATTTTTTCTTGAATTTCCAATTTGAATGGTTGTTTTGTTCTCACAATAATGACATTATTTTTTAAATTTTTATTTATTTCCCAAAACTAGGCTTTACTCTGTTTTGCCTTGTGATTACATCCTTCAAATATAGGAAAATTTATTTTGTTATTTTGTAAATAAGGTAATATTTTGTTTTATAAACCTTAAAATTTTTAATACAATTTATTTGGATTTACATATTTTAAGAATCAATATAATTACTATTAAATAAATTTAATATTTTATTTTATAATTTACTGTCTATCTGTGTGCATTATCTCGTAAATTATTATTTTTATCATTAAGTTTTTTCCTACAGATACAAATATTAATTTATCATTTTAATAAATATGCACATGAAATATTTCCAAAACTTTCAAAATTATTCAGTTTATGACAATGCCATTCCTAATCAGCAAAAGTCTTAAGATAAAGGCAAAATTTTCTCAGTGAATTAAACGTTTGAAAAATTATATATTATAAATACTAACCGATACAGCCGGTACCGCTAGGAGCCAACTCAAAATTTGGAGGACACTGGCAAATAAAAGATCCGGGAGTATTAACACATGTTCCGTATTGACATATTTGGGGATTTTCACATTCGTCAATATCTGAAATGTTTCAATAATGTTTTAAATGTTAAAAATATTAGCTTAATAAAGTAATAGTTAATAGATTTTAGTTTTAATTATTTATCAATTGCTAACTAATAAAAAAAAAAAACAAATTTTACACCTATTTAAATGATTGAAATAGTATATTAAATCCAATGTTAACCTTCAATTTTTAATATAAAGAATATAAATGTAAAATGAATATATTACAGCAATGAAAATAACTTCTTTTATAAAGTTAATAGTAATTTAACTTCAGATTATATGATATAACCTGATAAAATTATCTTTACTCTATGTAAAAATAATTCATTTATCTATTTAGAAATATATTTTGATTTTAAAAAAGTTGCCTATATTATTAAAAATTTAATTTGTATATTTTCTGTAATTAATGTAACTTCCAGACACATCTTAGAAATTCAGGAGAATTTAAGTTATTGTAAATGATGTACATTTTAAGTTTATTAAGCTTTCTGGATACAAGTAAATAAGTAAAGTTTATAATAAATGCATTAAATATCAACTTCCCGAAACCCAATGTATTGATACTAAGCCAAACAATCGCCACAATTAATCGAACTATTAATATGCTATAATTAATTAGAAACCAAGTAATTTGGTAATTTGGCACCTAGGTTTACCTCTATTACTTAGTTTCTAATTAATTATAGAATATTAATAGTCCAATTAATTATGATTAATTATGGTGATCATTTGGCTTAAATGTATTAATTTACAATGTAAATTACATCAGTACTTGCAGTAGTAACTTAGTTTCATTTATTGAGTAAAAAAATGTGCTTCGCATTTTCTTTTCGTGTCTTACATTTCTAAGCAAAGTGTCTGCTTTTTCATTCAATATTTTGCAAATTAGTTCTATCACATTATCTTCTTTTGCATACTATTTTATATCCAATCCTCAAACTTGCACAATATTTGCCAACAGCTGCCAAGCATATACTTTGCAAAAATTTTTTGAATTTTTTTAAATGTAGCCTTCACCAGCTCCATAGCTGCCCAGCTCTCACCATTTTTTAAAAATTATTTTCACTCTATTCAATTAGAAGAAAAAAATTATTACCATAAGTAACAATAGAGTAATTTTAAGAGAAGTTAAAAATTGCAGCCCAGCATTATGACCATTTCACAATAAATAATGGCTTGTTAACAAATACATTAAATTACCATAAAATACATTTTAGTATAAATTGTAAGGAACCAAGTCCGAACGTTATTTTTATTTACTTTTATTTTGCTTATTATTCTATTTTTGTTTGGGGCTTATGTTTTGTTAGGACGAAGGTTTCCTCACCATTCACCTTAGTAACTTAAAAATAGAAGAAAAACCAACTCACCGACGAAAGAAAAGCGCCGTAGAAAAAACTCGCGCACACTTGCGCTTCCCGAGCGGAAAAAAGTAAGTCCGCACCGAGAAAAGGGGGGGGGACCCCACAAGCACGAATTAGGGACTCGCTAAACCTTAAAGAATAAAAAAATCTCCCGAAAATTGTGAAAAAGAATAATGTAAAAGGTTAGCGAGTATTGTCGGAAAATAGGCTGCCAGACAAACAAAAAAAGTTTATTGTTAGCGTTAAGTATGTAAATGAGGAGAGTGATCTCATTCAGAATTGTGACGTCACCTCACACTATAAATCCCGAGTCTCAAGTGAAGATGAACGAGGTGAACTCCTGATAGCAACGAGCTTTGGTGAGCTTCGTAGCAGTGAACGAGAGAGGTGTCCGATAGGATCAAATAGTTCCAAGGCGATTTTGAAGTTATTCGATTTATGGATCGACGATTATAGAAAGTCTTGAGAGTTTGAGGAAATAGGTTCCTAGTATATTGAGGTGACGATTAGGATCTTTAATTTATAAGAATTATTGTTTATAAGTTAATTCTTTGATTTTGTCGAATTCCAAAGGGGAATAGAATTAAGTTAGAAATAGATTGATTTGAGTTTGTCGGATTGATTCTTGTTGAATTTCATTGAATAAATTATTGTTTGATTTTTACTAAATACTGTATATAGTTTATTACTAGAAGTTTAATTAAATATTTGATTTTGTTATTGACAAACTTTGTCATTATTTAATTCGGTGCACGCTTAAAGTCCAGGCCTGGCACACTAACGCGAATCCGCGTAAAGTACCCGTTACGGAACGGCTATTTCCGGCACGCAGTAGTGTCGATAATCGTTGGAAAAGTCGGAAAAATAAAATAGTACTTTACAAAATGAAACAATATTTTTCATTTATTTAATTTAAAATATATGCTCTCCACCTCAAATTAGTAGTGGCTTGTCCCTGTACATCATACTTTTCCTTTAACAATAGAGTCATACTGGTCATCTATCTAACATCTTTCAGGAGAAAACTTTTGAATTGAAATAACGTGCCTTTCGGTTTGCATCAGGAGTTCGTATATAGTTAATCGAGATCTCCTGCCCTAAGGTTTCCGTATCTGGTCTTGTCTTTCATCTATCTAACTCTGTTCTTGAGATTAATTAAGGAAATAAAATAAAATACTCCTCAAACCTTTAACCGGAGTGCTCCTATTTTTAGAATTGCGAATGTTTTCGTCGCCCCCTCCCGGGCTCTTCTTCAGGCTATAACAAATGGGCCTTTAATATTCAAATAAAAATATGATTTTTATTTGAATACTCCGGTTAAAGGTTTGAGGAGTATTTTATTTTATTTTATTTAAACACCGGTGTGTAGAGAGATTGTAATTAAGGAAAGACAAGCAGATGGACAGATGAGATGACAGTGGGAATTTATAGGTCTACAATTTTTTTCAAATTGCAGCCCAATGATGTATCTTAGTTATAAATGAAATTAATTTATATAAAATATAAATGATATTTTTGTATAAATGAAAAACATATAAGTGTTTTATAATGGAGAATGTACCAAGCAGAAAAGTTTTATCATATGAAAACATACAACTGGAGTTAAACTGTACATATAAATTATCTGCAGCTATATACCATCAATTAAAATTTTAGTTATAATTAATTTATCCTTTTTTTAAATTAATAGTTTTCTGTATTTATAATTTATATATTTTTTTAAATATTTGATGAAAATTCTAAATATCTAATGTGATATTTTTCAAATGAAACAAACAAACCTGAATTTAAAAGTGGGCAAGGTTCACAAAATTCTCCCCAGGCTCGTCCAACCGAACAACAACAAGACATGCGTGTTTGATTTGCTAGCATCGCTTGCTCACAAACAACTTGAGGCGGTACGTCGGTTGTGTTATAATACTGTCTATAACAAACGGATTTTCTCATATCTGAATAAAAATGTATTATTATTACATTTCTAAATTAATTTCAACAAAAAAATAACTTTAAGAATTTATTTGTTTAATTAATTACAATTAAAAAATTGTTAAAATAATTCTGAAGAAGAAAGAGTTGAAATATTCAAAATATAAAAATCACTAAATCATAACATTATTTATCTTAACAAATATTTATCTTTACAAATTATTGAAATTTACAATAAATAGCAAATTACCGACACATCCTCCACCAGTCACGAAAACGTAACCCGGAGGACACACGCACGTATAGCTTCCTTCTCTATTGACGCAGCTTCCCACTCCGCAGATGTCGGGATAATCTCGGCATTCGTCGACGTCTAAATTAGTTAATATAAATAATTTGCAAAACAGTTTTTAATAAATAAACATTTAAGTATCGTATCATCATCATTTCAGTTATTTTACCAATGCAATTTCTTTGAGTGTCATCAAGAGTGAATCCATCTGGACAAATACACATAAAACTTCCAAATGTATTAGAGCATCGTCCTGCATTACATATGCCGTATAATTCGCCACATTCATCGATATCTGTTAATAATATAGAAGAAAATTGCAGTTAGAAATGAAATTTTTCTAAATATAAATACTACTATTTATATTTATATTTTGATAATTATTATTAATCATAGCAAATGTTATAATAAGCTTATAAAGGAAAGCAATCAGATTGGCAAGATGTAATATGCATTTATGAGAATTGATAAAAAATACGAGACAAAAATTTTTATAGAGAAACTACTAATAGTAGTCATGTAGCAACCATGGAGAATATTTGAATATATCTGCTGATGTCATGCACCAGAGTTGTGAGGGGCAACCTGACACAATTATCAGTGAATCAAACTATGATGCAGGCTTGGATTTCCCTTTGTGTTTGAGCAAGCAAAGTGTTTGCATTGAGTTATTGCTGGAAACTCGATAAGATGGTCACTGAAATGCATAAAATGTTTCAAAAAACATTTGGAAACTGCTTGTTTGGTCCAAAACATTTGAGTAGTTGTCATGTATCAAAAATGGCTATACTTAAACTAATGTTGACTCACATAAGCCAAACAATAGCATGAACCAGTGATACTGTTAATTGTCAGATTGTCCACAGAACCATTTTGCAATGCCTTAGAGATGCAGTTTGTTGGAAATGCTCTCACAAATGGTCTTCTGGTAACTGATTTCTGTGCCACGCAGCCTGAGTGTACCAGAATTTTTGGCCCATTACCGCTTCCCTGTAGTTCTCCACACATCTTACAATCAGATTTGTCACTCTGTGACTTCTTTCTCTTTATCAGGTTCAAAAGCATCCAAAAAGAAAAAATATTTCAGATGTCACAGAGTTTCAATCGAATGCAACACAACAACAGTGGACCAATCCCAAATGAGCCTATCGGATATGTATGGAAAGTGGAAGGATGTGTAGAATGGCTGCATACAATCTGGAGATAACTTCCAGTGACTGGTAATTAGTTTTGCTTTTCTGCAATAAATTCTGTCCTGGATATTTTTGATCAGCCCATGTACATGCTTATAATAAAAAGAAATTACAGAAGTTAATTGTCAAGTTTTGTATTAATTGATAAGACTATTTAAATCAATTTTATAACTAATATATAAGAGTTTTGAAACTATGCTATAATCCATATTAAAATTTTTAGTGTTAACCATATTTTATTAACTTAATATTAACTAACTGGACATTAAACATAAGTTTTTAAATTGGATTTATGTTTGAGGAGCTTCCTTAATGAGTATGTTGTTATATTTAAAACTATTTAATTTGCTATTTATCAACTATAATATAGTCATAAATTATCCACTATTTTAATTAATCTTGACTTTTATCTACCAAATACAGAACTTTATTAATATGTGCTTGCATTATTAATTTCAAATGAATTTACAATTTAAGAAAGAAATATGTTTGTATTTTTATAATGTAGATGTTGAAATGTGGGCTTTTATTATATCTGATGATAAAATAATATTATAAACTAAAGTAAAATAATTCAGAAATAATCAGAAAATAAATAAACACAAATGTATAAATATATTTTATTGTAAGATTTTCTTCAATGAAATAATAAATGAGGTAAACTATTTCTACTTCTTGATATTATTTTTAAATAACTCTGAATAATGATTACTTATAAGTAATTTAAACATTTAAAGCAAATTAATGCAAAAATAAACAACTATTTTCAAAAATTTTAAATTTCCTGAATTAACCAGATTCATAATTGAACTACAATATCAATAAATATTATAGTAGAGCATCGTTTATCCAAAAGTCGGTTATCTGAAAGGTCGGTTATCCGAAAGTATTCCAGTCGGCAAATTTAAATTTTTGCTAGTGCTGTGAAGCTGCAATCTTTGGCTATATCTTGGGCTACTCCAATATTTTTTTCGTTGGTGTGTGTGTTTTAACTGGCAGCATGGCATTTTTGTGTGGTGTTTTTCTGAGGATTGTGTGTCATGCTGAATTGAACGTTTTTGATACTAGATCAACTTCTAAAGTATATTTTTTTGGTTTTTATATTTTTCAATAAATTTATTTTGTTTGTACAAAATAAAAAAATTTTTTGTAATACAATAGCCACGATTATTATTTTAAAAAGTTTACGTTAGGCTTAACATCGATAAAAATTCAACACGAAGTGACATGCAACGAAGAAAAATTTCAATGTGGGATAGGTTAATATATTTTTTTGTACATAATCGGTTATCTGAACAACCCAGTCCCCAATTGATTTGGATAAACGGCTCTACTATACTTCAATTGTAATGTACTTTCAAGATTACAATTGTTAATTTAAAATTAATTAGTATATTTACTTTTCATATAATCATATAAATAAAAACCTCAATTAATTTTTTTACCTTCTAGGACCACTGTGATTTGATTCGGTCGAAAACCCGGGCCACCGGGGCAAAGTTCTCTGTAGTCGGCTTTAAAATAAATCATTCATAAATTTTTTTTTAATAAACTTTTCCTTTTAAGTATTAAATTTTAAAATTATTTATCTAAATGGTAATATATATTTGATATTTTAGTAAATTATTATTATTATTATTATTATTATTATGTTGAGTTTAGTGAGTTTTACTCGGTTCACACCGGTGGCTGTGTACTATGCCGGACCAGAGTCAAGGCATAGCAACCAAAACAAAACTAAAATTAAATAAGTGTGTCAGTGTCTGTATTCAGGAATTTCCTAACAATGTGGCATGTATTCAATATAGTGGCCTTCTGTAGTGTTATGTATGTATTTCTACTCAATTCTAATGTTCCCAGGCTTTTGTGTAGTGTGTGTGGTATCACACCTGTACAGGAAAGAACAACAGGTACAATAACTACCCTATCCATCCTCCATAGATGCCTTATTTCCTGGGCAAGTTCTGTGTACTTGCTAATTTTTTCAGTGCATGTGTTTTGTACATTGTGAGTGTTTGGAATGGCTATGTCTATAATGTATGTGATTTTATTGTGTTTGTCAATGAGTGTGATGTCTGGTCTGTTGTGGTAAATTGTTTTATCTGTGATTATGGCTCTGTCGTAATACATTTTGTGCGTGTTATTTTCCAATACTGTCTGTGGAATATACTTGTAGTATGGTTCGTGGATGTCTGCCAATTTGTGTTTCTTTGCAAGCTCTTGGTGTATTATATTTGCTACTTGATTGTGTCTATGTAAGTAATCTGTCTGTGCCAAGAGCTTGCAACCAGAAGTGATGTGTTGTATAGTTTCTGGCATGATGTGACATTTTCTGCATGTGTCATTTGTGAGTGTTGTATCTTTGAGTATGTGTTTTCTGTAGTTTTTAGTATTTATGACCTGATCCTGTATGGCAATCATGAATCCTTCTGTCTCCCGAAAGAGGCATCCCAAATCTAACCAGCTGTTTGACGCAGTTTTGTCAACAAATTATTATTATTATTATTATTATTATAATAAAGGTGGCCATATGACCAAGAGAATCGGGCTGTCGGACTATTGCTTTCAGAAACATAGAATTGAATCTGGGCCAGCAATTCCAGAAATTTTTCTTTGGCCATTTGTCCCAATCCTCATTATCTGGTCACTTCCATTGGCCAGGCCCACGAGTATGAAAAAGGGGCTTTTTAATATCCATAGAGCAGAGAGAGCCAATAAATAAAAACAAATCATTATTTTAAAATTAACTATTTTTAAAATGTAATTTGTGTTGTCTATTTGCTAATATCATATTAATAAGAATATAAATGTAAAATGAATATATTACAGCAATGAAAATAACTTCTTTTATAAAGCAATTGCAAATTCCTGATATTTAAATTTTTATTCTATCTCATCTTCTATCTTTTACTATACAGTTGTTAGTCTTGTTTTTAGTTAGAAAAATGAGATAAATATCTTCATTTCATACATGAATTTCATTAAAAAATAAATGATCTTTCTACGACTGATGGAAAATTCAAAAACATTTCTGATGTAATAAATCATGACTTTGGTACTAGTTTCTTCTGTTTTAATCATATAAAATCATCATCAGCTGCTTTAAATAATTAATTAAAAATATCTAGGACATATGCATTTTTAAAATAATTAATCTGTTTATTTAAAACTATTTTTAAACGTAATAAAATACTCACTCGAGTTTACGACAGGACAGATCTCACACAGGGCACCCCAGGCCGCACCCACCGTACAACAACATGTCGCTTTTGTCATCTTCTCCCCTAATTCAGTATGACATATTCCTCTTCCATTGTAGCTCCCAGTGTAATCGAGAAAACATTTTCCTTCTCTTTTATCTAAAATTGATTATTATAAATTAATACGTGAAAATGTATAGAACAAATAAAATTATGCATAAAACCAATTTCAAAATAATAAAATAAATTGTTTTTTATTTGAAGATTGTAAGTTGAGAGGCAAAATGGTTCGAGAACTCTCGGGGTAAAGTCTGTCCGTATTGTGATAGATATGAAGTGATAAACAGATATTTCCACAAACAGAATTACAAGGAATGAGATAACACAGTAATAGATATAACAGATCAATTTTATTTTCACTTTCGTATAGGTTCAAAAAAAATCCCAACTCACAGTCTTTCAATTTGCATATATAACAATTGAATAGTTCTCTCCAATATTTAAACCAAACAAATGTTTGACAATATTACCGCGAAAATTTACAACTAAAACTTAACCTAATTATACACTAAAAGAAGATAAGGAAAGCGGATAGATTGTTAAGGAAAGAGAAGGGGGAAGAAGGAAAGACCCAGGAATCCTTTTTTGTTGTTATATACCTCGGATGGATTGCTGGTAAACAATAGTCGATAAGTTTTGAAATTTAATTTGATTACCTCTTTCTTGTACCGGTCCATCTTGCATGGACTATCTTCATACAGTTATCTACACTGGCCTTCTTAATGCTGGAAGATCTTTGTCTTCAGCACCATATTTTCAGGGACCTACTTTCTCTCATTATTCTCACAAACCAGGGCCACTACTAAAGTTAAACCCTCAAGATGTTGGATACAGTTCTCCGATATTCTCACGAAAAATGTCCGTAATTGCCTCAGATTGTCCTGGCCGCAATCTCAAGTACGACTTGACTGCACCTCTTGTCACCATGAGGTCTCCACCAAATCTGAGCTTTCCCACTCTTTCGATTTCCTAGAGAATTGTTAACTCTTTTGTTTCCCAATGTCCGTTCTGAGAACCGGTAAATCCACTTGAGAAAAAAGGGATTAAGACAGAAAGATCTAGGATAGTCAAGACAAAGAACGAAGGAAATACTATGCCTAAAATATAAAATATATATCAATACAACAATATACAATAATATGGCTGACAGCCACAGTATGAACCAAACTTTTTGAAAAGAAGAATGCCATTACTAAGGGGGAAAAAAACCCTTTAAAAATTCAAATAAAATTGTTTTGATTTTTTAATGCTATTTTTTCTTGAATTTCCAATTTGAATGGTTGTTTTGTTCTCACAATAATGACATTATTTTTTAAATTTTTATTTATTTCCCAAAACTAGGCTTTACTCTGTTTTGCCTTGTGATTACATCCTTCAAATATAGGAAAATTTATTTTGTTATTTTGTAAATAAGGTAATATTTTGTTTTATAAACCTTAAAATTTTTAATACAATTTATTTGGATTTACATATTTTAAGAATCAATATAATTACTATTAAATAAATTTAATATTTTATTTTATAATTTACTGTCTATCTGTGTGCATTATCTCGTAAATTATTATTTTTATCATTAAGTTTTTTCCTACAGATACAAATATTAATTTATCATTTTAATAAATATGCACATGAAATATTTCCAAAACTTTCAAAATTATTCAGTTTATGACAATGCCATTCCTAATCAGCAAAAGTCTTAAGATAAAGGCAAAATTTTCTCAGTGAATTAAACGTTTGAAAAATTATATATTATAAATACTAACCGATACAGCCGGTACCGCTAGGAGCCAACTCAAAATTTGGAGGACACTGGCAAATAAAAGATCCGGGAGTATTAACACATGTTCCGTATTGACATATTTGGGGATTTTCACATTCGTCAATATCTGAAATGTTTCAATAATGTTTTAAATGTTAAAAATATTAGCTTAATAAAGTAATAGTTAATAGATTTTAGTTTTAATTATTTATCAATTGCTAACTAATAAAAAAAAAAAAAACAAATTTTACACCTATTTAAATGATTGAAATAGTATATTAAATCCAATGTTAACCTTCAATTTTTAATATACTATAATCGCATCAATGCTGCTTTATTGAAACACAAAAGTAGTTTTTAACAAAGAAGTTAAATGTTAAATGTCAGCATTTACGATTTATCTCTGAATTTTATATTTTAATTACTTACACTGATGATATGGTTGTCCTAATATTAACAGTGCAGGCTTTTAAGTAGAAAATAAAATACATTAAAAGAAGAAGTAAAAGGTATTATTTTTTTAGTAAGATGACGATAATCTAGAAATATCTTACCAGTGCAATTTCCTCCGGTCGAATCGAGTTGATATCCAGTATTGCATATGCATCTGAACATTCCGAATACATTTTCACATTGTCCAAATACGCAAATATTATGGAACATTGTGCATTCATCAATATCTATTCAAGAAATATAAAAATAACTATTGTTTTAAATGTTCTTTAAATTGATAATTATATTATTACTTATTAGATTTTTATGTTATATGAGGTAGCCTGATAGTTCGATTAATGTTAACGCGCTTAAAATTAATTCCTTTAAATTTTTAAAAAGCAGGTAAATTTATAAAACCACTAAAAAAAATTAAAATGTAAATTTAAATTTGATGATCTTCTGTGTGAAACAACACTAAAACAATTTCTATAGTTATATTGCAAAAGAAAAAAAGAGTTGCAATTAATTAAAAAAATTGTAATTAAGGGTTATTAAAATGCAGGAAAAATTAAATAAATAATTATTAAAAATAAAATAAAAACTAAAACTAAATCAGTATATCTGTATTCTGTACATAACCAAAGGTTATTATTATTCAAAAATCAAACTTAAAGAACAGTTGCTAAGAGACTGTTCTTTAAGTCTGTTATGTGACTTTTGACTCAGACTTGAAGAGATGGCTATTCATTTGCTACAGGAAGAAAAGAATAGCTGTCTCTTCAAGTCTGAGTCAAAAGGGAATTCCTTTTGCCTCTCCTATCCCTACACAAAGTCCTTCCTTTTCTTTTGTTAATCTTTTCCACAAATTCATGCCGAGTCCACAGGTGGTACTTTCGAGAAGTGAATTTTAGACCCTACCTGTGATCTACTTACATGCTGCTTCTTTGTAAAGTGTTGGTTTCAGTTTCAGAGGAGACGGAACATTTTGCTTTTAATACATATACAGATATACAGATTACTAGTACGTTAAAATTACAGATGTAATAATTAATAATAAAAATCTATTAATACAACAAATTTACCAAAAATACCAAATAAAAATTTATACATAGATATAAAAACTAAACTTTTTAAATTACGATTCATATTCTATGTTTTATATAATAATATATTTTTTAAATACAGATTTTATAAGTTTTGGTACTCTCAAACAATGATTTATATTTATCAATGTGCAAACTGTAATATGTGCATCTATATAACTATAAACTTTTGCAAAAAAAAAGAGGGAAAATATATTTTAAAAATAACACGATTTTAAATGATTCACGCAAGTTTTTAACTCATTATAAAGAATTTCTGATGCAATTTTACATTAATAACCATTTATTTATTTTGCTTCAAAAATAATTATCTAAAATTAAATTTAAAGCCTTTGTTTGTTCCAGATATTTGAAGATAAAATTGTTAAACTCACCTATGCAATTTCTTTCATTATCTTCTGGTGAAAATCCCATATCGCATTCACAACGATATCCTCCGGGATAGTTGAGACATTGTCCATTTTCACAAAGAGCAGGATTTAAACTGCATTCGTCGACATCTGAAAGTTAAAAAGATCTTTTGTTTTTATGCTAATTTGTATATCATATAATTTTGAAATCATACTTGTGTGATATTTTTATAAAATTATTGCCATTTTGTTATATGGAATTATTTAATTTACTTTACATTCAAATAAGAATAATAAACAATAAAATATTTAATAAATCTCTATCTTTGATGAATAAAATAACAATAATTTAAATATAAATAACAATATTTTGAAATGTACCTCTACATATCTGACCGTTTCCTGTAAATCCTTCATCACAAGTACATTTGTAGGAACCATCGGTATTGATGCAAGCTGCATCGGGATCACAGCCACCGTTATCTCGTAAGCATTCATTTATATCTATAAATATTTTAATAATATATTTTTAAAGGTTAACAATGGATAAATTTAATTTTAAAATCTTAAATTTAAATGAGTTTTTTAATCTTAAGATACCTCGACACGTTATGCCATCTCCACGAAAACCATCTATGCAATGACACTGATAAGACCCTAGAGTATTAATGCATTCTGCATGATCATCACATTCTGCAGTTCCAAGATCACACTCATTATGATCTACAACAAAAAGAATCAAAACTTATATAAAATCAAAATACTTGTTTAAAATTATAGAAACTCACCAGTGCACCCCTGTTCATTTGTTTTCACGGAGAATCCAACGTCGCAATGACAAACGTACGAGCCAACAGTATTTTCACAACGACCATTTAAACATACATTGGGATTCAAAGCACATTCATTAATGTCTGTGGATACAAGAAATAATTATTATTAATTTAAATATATATGATAAGATTAAATTATAATAAAAATAATAATTCTAGGGATTTAGCTACGAGGTGGCATTTCCCACACTAATGTTTTTCTGTCCTTCACTCTCTACTGGTTTTCACTGCCACCCAAACAAGTTTAAAAATAAATAGCATAAAAACTCATTAGATAAATCAGAAAATAGGCACACCAGAATCAAATACTAAACAACATAAACCACCATTGAAGTAAAGAAGAAAATTTAATACTTGTTCTTCAGCCTTGTTTTTTTATTGAGCATTGCCATACTAATATGGCAGCTCCAGTGGCGTGCAAGTGGCATTTGATGATAGGGAAGCTGTGCTGGCCCTAGATAGAATCATTGGAAGTATTATACGATATTTTGGTGTGTAGCATCCACGAGCTAAACTGAGTGAGGTTGGTCCTCTGTAAAGTGCATGCGCGAATGCATGTAATCTGACTGCTTTACACACCATTCAAATATTTTCACCATGGAAATTATCCATTATTCAACAATACAGAACTTCCATTGGGAACATGCACATACAAATTTATATTCAAATATACAATAGCAATTTTATCGTTTTTTTACACATGTAATATAGAAATTTGTAATAAGATACATAATGCAGTTATAATGAAATATTAATTTTAATTAATGTTAAAATATGAAAATAATCGCACAATATGTATTTACATTTTAGAAAATACAAGGGAAGCAGTGCTTCCACAGAATGGCACACAACTGGGCATTATTGTGTAAGGAGCTCCTTACACAATAATGTGTTGCTATCAGTCTTGGGCTATTGCATTCTTATTGCATTCTTACCATAACCTATGCTAAGTCTATACAAGACATCAGCAATGCAGATGATCCACACACACACAGAAATTTCTGGTTACAAAGCAAGCGTTTGTCATATGATACAGTTCTTTGTATTGATAATTATTTATTCAAAATCCATTTTGCCAGTTTGTCGATGTAAAATTATACATCAATAACTGATAAAATGGATTTCTGTCTTACTTTTGTATAATTTCATGAAAAATTTGATATTTGATAAGCATTATTAATCAAGAATTAAATGCAAGAAAAAAATACTTTAAAATAATATCCAATTTACTAATATTAGTTAAATATTATGAAAAGACTATTCCCGGATTAAAATTTATTTATACCAATTATTCCTTATATAAATTGAAAAATGTAAAACAGTTTAATGTTTCTACCTTGACAAGATTTCTCATCTGGAGATGGAATTAATCCATCAACGCAGGTACAATAATAAGAACCTATAGTATTATCACATTTTCCACCGTTACAAACATTATCACCCTCTCTGCATTCATCAATATCTGAAAGTAAAATTAGGTTAGATGAAGTTATACAAATTTTAAAATTAATATTTCAATTAAATTAATAATAATTTATAAGTTTAATTATAACACAATAATATTTTAAACAATATTTCAAAAAATGTTATTTCTAAATACCCATTTAATAACAATTATTTACCTCCACAACTTCTGCCATCAGGAAGCAACATATAACCCACTTCACAGGCGCAAGAATAACTTCCCGGCGTATTAATGCATTGCGATTGGCAGTTTCCGTTATGTTCGGCACATTCGTCAATATCTGTACATAATTAAAATATATATATATATATTTTAAAATTTTGTATAGATCATTTAAGCTTTAGTTTTAAAGAATTTAAAATTAAGCGCACATTACCATTTTCATATTTTTGCATTTATAGGTTGCATTTTTGTATTTAGTCACAAGTTTACTTATTTATTCAAAATAAATCAAGAAATCATAATATAATTTGATTTAAAATTAATAAAATTTTATTTTCTAAATGAATAAACATTTGTTTAACTCTCAATTATGTTTTAAAAATAGAAATTATAAAAACCTTCACAGCTACTAAGTATAGGTGTTTGCTGATATCCGTCATTACACACACACTGGTAAGTTCCCATCATATTTTCACAAACTCCATTGGAACAAATACCACTGGTTCGACTACACTCGTCGATATCTGCAAGATAAATTCAAGTATTTAAAAGAAATTTTAAAATCTAAGAATATTTATTTTAATAATTTAAAGTATATTAATAAGTATATTTCACTAAAAAGTATTTGAAACTTGATAACAATGGAAAACTAAGTTTACCATTAAAGCCATAATGCAAATTAATCAATGCAAAATTTTTATTTTTCTTAAACATTTTATGTTCTAATGAGCAAATTGTTATAAATTGTATTAAAATTAAACACAAACTTTTTTATATAAAGTATTTATTAATTGTTTAGAAGTTGCAAGACAGTTATTAAATTTAAATATATTGTTACATAAATTATTCACAATAATTGTATTTCAGTTATTTAATCTGCTTATAAAATAATAACGAAAAATACATTGTTGCATTACACAAACAATGGTATAAGAGACCCTGCACAAAGTTTATCATCATTGACTTATATATATAAAATACTATGTTTAAAATAAATATTCAAATATATTCTACACTTCTGTACAGAATAATGGAAAATTATTTTTCTTGCTGATATATTAGTAACCAACCGGGGCCCCAAAGACTGGACCCGAGTACACTACACTGTTTGCGCATAGATTCGCCTTTGATTACGGAGACTGTAAGGATTCTACATGCAATTGTAACATATTATATTGACTTTCATAAAATGGTATTCTTATGGGGAGGACAATGTTGTGGAGTCAGATGTTTTAGAGCAGAATCAGAGTAGGTAAAATGTAACGTATGAAAATATTTTAAAATTAGTATATAAAGAAATTTCTTAGAAAAGAGATTACTTTGATAAATTTAGGTATCAAAATATATTCACTTATAAAGGCCATTTCACACCAAAATTGTGTATCACATGCCACATGCTCTATCCTTTCTGAAAATAGCTTTTACAATTTAAACAAATATTTTCACATCACCTAGAAAGCTGTATTCTCTATATGAAGCACACCAGGCTAAGTATGTTTTGCAAGTTACCAACAAAATTTACAAAACATGGTGCAATACTCGACTGACTTTGCATTTGTAAAAAAGTTATCTTAAACTTTATATTATGTAAGTTATATTATTATTTGTTTGTAATTTTTGCTATGCAAATCGAAACTGAATATTGTATGAACCGTTCAAGAAACAAATAATTTTTCAATGTGCTAGTTTATCAATTGATTGGTTTTAGATACTGGTATGCAACACAATCTGCAATCAAGGGAATATGTTTTCCAGGTGGTGTTTTAAGGGAAAGTCGCCCCTATTTGGACATTATCGATGCAAAGAAAACCCAGAAAATGAACCAGCCAGCCCATCGGCCCAAACCAATTACCACTGTTTAGGAATTGAATCCACTTAGCCACTGGTGCATTACAAGTGTTGGATGGAGAAGATATACAGATGATTCTATATGGAAAATTTTTTGCAGCAATCTTAACTGGGATTTGATCCTGGATCCTTTGCAATGACAGTCTGTACTGCTCAGTCATATGGCTAGCTTTGTTGAAAGCTCCATCATGTCACTATGTTGTTTAAGCAAGAATGTGAAGTGCGGAAACAATAATAAAAAGTTTATGGTATGGCTTTTAAGTTTCAAGCTTATCTTTACCAAAAAGAAACTCCTAAGAAAAAATTTCACTTTCATTTCAAGTGCCATCAGTTTTACTCTGTGCAATATCTTTTATCTCAGATGCTTTTCTCTGGATATCAATTTCTTTTGACATATTAACTTTAAATTATTTTTCACTGTCATCCTATTATAACTATTTATTATTGCTTCTAAACATAATTTGGTCTTAAAAGTCAATAGAAACACAACTGAGATCAGAATCTAACTGCAACAAACTAAAGGAGGAAGCAAATACTGCAAAATGTAATTAATAGGAAAGTTCTGGCTTATTATTCACTGATTTCATTTCTAGGAGCAGAATTGTATGCATCGGTTCAAGATGACTGTTATTATTTTTTCCTAAATTCATGTTTTAAGATTCTACAATATACTTGAGTTTAGTCAACTGTCGGTTGGAAATTAACTATTCTCATAAAAATCCAAAGTGAGAGAAACTATTTTGCAAAGCAATTTATTATGTCATTCATTAATCAAATTGTTTTTTTTCCATTTATTGTATTTAAATCTTTTCTTTAAAATGATTAAATTTGAATCAATTTTTGATAATTAACTAATGAAAGTGGAATTTGTTTGGCCAATGAAGATGTATGTTTCTTTATGTCATTCATTAATCAAATTGTTTTTTTTCCATTTATTGTATTTAAATCTTTTCTTTAAAATGATTAAATTTAAATTAATCTTTTATAATTAACTAATGAAAGTGGAATTTGTTTAGGTGATTAAGATGTATGATTCTTTATGTATGCAAAAGTTTTTCCAAGGTAAATTTGTTATATCCATTTTTTGATTCTCACTGCCAATTTTAGTACGACTTTTTATAGAGAAATTTTAGATCAAAATATTCAGATACTCAGTGGTATTTTCTTTATAAAAGGAATCGTAGTGTGAAAAATTAAAATCAGAGTTGGGCATTTCAAATTTGTGAAACTATTTGTTTACCGACTCCACCATACTGGTGGAGGAAAATGTATTTATTTCTAATGCTTACAGTCAATTGTACACACATGGATAAAATAGCATATCTAGCCTAAAATGTATAATAGAAAATATATTTTTAATTATTTTACAGTTCAAATCCATAGAAATCAACAATGTAAAACTGATTAAATAAGCATGTATATGAGAAATTATATGTGCATGTGTTGGGAAAATAGAAAACTATTACTATCAATACATTATGAATGTCTACTCACCATCAATAAATTTAGAAAAATTACTAAAAGCAGTCTCTATGCATTAAAATTTCTATTATTGTCACTAATTAAAATAACAGTAAACCTGAATTAAATTATTTTTAATATAATTTGTTAATAATTTTCTGATTCGTATGGTTTATTTCAATTACTATTGTATATTAGAAATTTATAAATTTATCCTGAATATAAAATTATTAAATAAAATTACCTTTACATGATCTACCATTAGGCGATAACTCGTGACCAGTGGGACATTCACAAAAAAACGAGCCAGCCGTATTGACACAAGTTCCACCACGACATATACCACGAATTCTGGTACATTCGTTAATATCTACATATATAAATTTAAAAAATAAAAAAGTATACAGTATTTTATAATTATAACACAAATTAAGCATACAATTTATCTAAAGTTTTAGAGTGACATTTATTATTATAGAAGAATAAGTAATTCAAATATAATAATTTAAAAAAAAAAAATCATTAATATTCAGAATATATTAAGAATGTAAAGAATTATATAATATTGAGAATACTACATGTAAAGTATTAACTGGAAAAGCTTATATTCAAAAAGAAATTGTTTTATGTAAATATTTAGTGTTCAGAGAATAAATTCCCACAATTCCTATAATTAAAGAAAAGATCAATAATTCCCTTATTTACTAATGCTTTCAGTTTTTTAATGGCTCTATTACAGTACATCTCAATATTTACATACTGTATTTACTTGCATATAAGACGAGGTTTTTATTAATTTTTCATTGCTTCAAAAACCTAGGTCATCCTATACGTGCAAGCAAAGGATTCTTTGTGCTTTTGCAATAATTTTTGTGAACCGTGTGTTTACATATTTTTACCAGATGCTCACCCTCTGGTGTTTAAAAACAAAAGTATTTTATCTGGGTTGTTGCAATCGTTCTTGCGTATTGTCAGGAGTAAAGATGAATAGCAATGGAAAAAGCAAAGCTTTTGAATTGAATTCCAATTTGAAATGCCAAAATCACAGAGGAGCCGATATAAATTTTAATCCATTCCCATGTAAAAAGAAATGATTATTCGGAAATCAGAATTCGGAGAAACTCGACTGTTAAGAATTGGCAAAAAAGGTTCTCGATTGTCCAGCTTTACATGAACAAATTATGTTGTTGATTTTACAAGATTTTTCTGTGCCAGTAATTTTTGCGGGACAAGGTATGCATTTACGTGCATTTGAAATTTTATTTGTGATTAAACAAATTTTCACTATGTATGGCATTATTAATAGTTTTTGTTTTGAGTGCTTTCAATGAATATATTTTCGTCATCCTCAGGCAAAATAAAAAACTTTTTATGTCGAACATATACATTTGAAATGGAAAAGAACGCATATAAATTTAAATAAAATGCTTTTGGAATAAACTCGATATGAAATGGCTATAAATTTCAAATACATACTATGTTATACATGCAATGTAATACAGTGCATGCGTGGTGCTGGCCCCCGTCAACGGTGTGACAGATGATGTAAATCGCTGTTTAACCGTTTATATAGGGCAATCCATATGTTGGGCAGTTCTAGAGTGGGTAGTGGGTGTGTTGCACGTTTCAGAGATTGTTATGAATAGAGACTCACATATAAAGAGGAGTTTTTGGTTGCTGCAGGCTCTGGGTATTGTAGAATGAGTCCACAACGAGTTGTAATTCAGATGGTGCACCTGTCTTGCGAGCTTTGTTGTACACCTTCCTTTGGCCACATCATCCTGGTGTTCGGCTAGACGAGTAGCAAGCATTCTTGCTGTGGCCCCAATGTATCTTGTATCGCTCCCGTTAAGGGATTTTCCAATGGTACCGCATAAACTCCCAATTTCTCAAAGGTGGAGAACTTATCCTGATCATTACAGATGAGTCTGCGCAAGTTTGGTAGTGGAGAAAGGGGCAGGAGAAGGTTATATTGTCTAAATATACGGCAAATGCATATAGAAAGAGGTCCCAGGTATAGTAATGATAATTGAACAACTGTGAGATACATTGGGGCCACAGCAAGAATGCTTGCTACTCATCTAGCCAAACACCAGGATGATGTGGCCAAAGGAAGGTGTACAACAAAGCTTGCAAGACAGGTGCACCATCTGAATTACAGCCCTGAATTACATTCTACAATACCCAGAGCCTGCAGCGACCGAAAACTCCTCTTTATATGTGAGTCTCTATTCATAACAATCTCTGAAACGTGCAACACACCCACTACCCACTCTAGAACTGCCCAACATATGGATTGCCCTATATAAACGGTTAAACAGCGATTTACATCATCTGTCACACCGTTGACGGGGGCCAGCACCACGCATGCACTGTATTACATTGCATGTATAACATAGTACGTATTTGAAATTTATAGCCATTTCATATCGAGTTTATTCCAAAAGCATTTTATTTAAATTTATATGCGTTCTTTTCCATTTCGAATGTATATGTTTGACATAAAAAGTTTTTTATTTCACCTGAGGACGACGAAAATATATTCTTTGAAATCGCTCAAAAAGAAAACTATTAATAATGCCATACACAGTGAAAATTTATTTTACTACTACTATTACTTGGTGTGAGTATAATACTAAAACTAGATTAAATGAAATAAAATTAAATTGTATTAATAAATCTAATTTTCTTTATTTTGATCATTAAAGTCACACCTTATCCTATATGCGAGATCATCTTATAAGCAAGTAAATATGGTATTATGATACAATACAGAATATGTTTTTATTAAAAAAAATTAAAGTATTTTAATGTATTAAAATTTATATACAGGAAAGGTTACTTCAACTACATTTTAATACAATAACTTTTTTAAAATTTAGCTATAATATGAAGCAATTAAAAATTAAAAGATGTCTTTTTAAACATGTTTTCTGTTATTTTACCAAATAAAATGAAAAGAACATTATTAAAATAATCAAGTGTTAACTTATTAATGACAGGATATCAAGGAATAAATGACAGTTGAGTTAATTTTTCTCCAAATAACTTTAAATATACATTAAAATTTAATATACTATTATTATATACAAATAATATTTCCTCATAGTATCAATTATAAATAAATAATTAGTAATTAAGCTTTGATAAATATAACTATAGAATGAAAATCACTTATTAATACAAATGTAATGAACTTTGCATTAAAAAGTTGTTATAACTATTAAATAAAATTTGTTTATTTTATATTACCCATGCACATTTGCATCATCATACTGTCTTCGTATCCATCATGACAATCGCATCGAAAAGAACCGGCCGTATTTCTACATGTTCCGCTACCGCATACGTTGTGTGCAATTGTACATTCGTTGATATCTAACAAATACAAAATTAACAAATCATTATTGATACATATGTAATATATAATAAAATATAAAAAATCATTAACAGTAAATAAATTTATATCATACAAATAAAATGTTTCAAGACTGAGAAATAAATTTACTACTAATTAAATTTTCACATTAAATGCTAATATTATGCTTCAATTAAATGAATTTCTCATTGACTTACTTTTGATTTTATTTATCTTACATTTATTAAATTAGATATGTAGTGAAGCATATAAATATTGCTTTACCCGTGCAATTTAATCCATCAGAGTCCAATGCATATCCGGGATTACACTGACAATTGTAACTTCCAACTGAATTTCTACAACGTCCGTTTTGACATATATTTGGAAAATGGACACACTCATTGATGTCTATAATAAAAATTAAATATTTAATTTGAAAGTGATGGTAATCTGAAGGAAAAATGTCATTAATAAACTTATTTTACAGATATAAAAAAATGATTCTAAAATCTTAAAATAACTATCAGACTCACACAACAGATTTGGTTGTATTTTTTTTTATCAATATAATATATTTTTCTTGCATGTGGGCTCTATAGATATCATGTATACTTTAGTTAGAATTCATATAAAATTTAAAGGAGAAATTTAATTAATAAAAAAATTCTATCTGCAGTATCTTAACTGATTTCAAAGCAGAATACTTACAAATTTTATTTATCTACCTTCTTCAATATTATTTTTATTAATATGATATTTTTTGATTTATCCACTTAATCAGTAGCGTAGCGTAGTGGGGGCAACAGGGGCAGCCCGCCCCGGGCGGCACTTTTTAGGGGGCGGCAAAATTTCACAATAAATAATAATAATATCTTGTAAGAATTTGAACCATTTTATTTCATATTTTCGTCCCCCTATGACTCGGACCGATTGAAATGAGCATGGAATAGTGTTACCATCCATCCAGATAGTCCGAGAATCGACTCGCCATCCAGGGATATCATGCGCCTGTTGACCTTTTTTTTTTTTTATTTTGCTTGTACGATTTATTCGTATATATATACATCTCCAATATCCAATACAGCTAGGTCACTTCCTTTACTCCTATCCAAGTCTCCCTAGTCACTAATTGTAACTGATTTAGAACCAGCATGCACTGCACATTATTCTTCGCATTGCAAAATGACATATGCATACGTCAGGAACTTCTATTCGAACAAACCTCCCCTGCCGTCCGGGTCAGCGATTTTAAAAAGGTGCCAACACTAGCACAAAATTTTTCATTACTTATTCTGTGACGAAATTGAATTTTAGTCTTTTAAATTGAGATACCTAAATAGGGGGAGCAAAATTTTCCTTCTCCCTGGGCGGCTGACACCCACGCTACGCCACTGCACTTAATGTCAATAAAAACAAACAAGTTCTTTCGTGGCTTAAAATATGTTCTTTATTTCATCAGCATTAAGCACGTAAGATTTTTTTTTTCCTGTTTTATCACATTCTTAGTTTTACACAAAATATTTTTTTAAATAATAATCATTTAAGTTGCTAGAAAAATTATTGAAAAAATCATTTAATATATTTCAAATTAAAATTGAAAATGGTATATTTCGCAATTTAAATATAAAAGAAACTAAATCATCTTCATTCTTCCATCTTGCAAAGAAAATCTGTTTTATTTGTGGTGATTGGACAAGATGGAAGAATAGAGACGAGTTAGTTATCTATTTTTAATTAGTATGACTTAGTTCGTATACATAAATGAAGCCTATCTTCATAGATATAAAGAAGAATCTATTTTCACATTTTTTATATTAATATTGATTATTTCAGAAATCACATAAAAATTCCTCCAATTTATTAAAAATAGCAATACTACAGTAAAAATAATAACTTTTTCTCTAACCTGTAAGAAATCCTATTTCGCCTCGAGCTCTCCCGTCGAAAGCAAATCCGATTCCTTTTATACATAATTCTTTGAAAGCATCTGTTAAAACAAATTAATAAACTTAGCCGTAACAATACATAATGTTATAGTAATCTATTATAATACTTAAATTTAAACTTATTTTTTGAGGACATATCAAGGAATAAATGACAGTTGAGTTAATTTTTCTCCAAATAACTTTAAATATACATTAAAATTTAATATACTATTATTATATACAAATAATATTTCCTCATAGTATCAATTATAAATAAATAATTAGTAATTAAGCTTTGATAAATATAACTATAGAATGAAAATCACTTATTAATACAAATGTAATGAACTTTGCATTAAAAAGTTGTTATAACTATTAAATAAAATTTGTTTATTTTATATTACCCATGCACATTTGCATCATCATACTGTCTTCGTATCCATCATGACAATCGCATCGAAAAGAACCGGCCGTATTTCTACATGTTCCGCTACCGCATACGTTGTGTGCAATTGTACATTCGTTGATATCTAACAAATACAAAATTAACAAATCATTATTGATACATATGTAATATATAATAAAATATAAAAAATCATTAACAGTAAATAAATTTATATCATACAAATAAAATGTTTCAAGACTGAGAAATAAATTTACTACTAATTAAATTTTCACATTAAATGCTAATATTATGCTTCAATTAAATGAATTTCTCATTGACTTACTTTTGATTTTATTTATCTTACATTTATTAAATTAGATATGTAGTGAAGCATATAAATATTGCTTTACCCGTGCAATTTAATCCATCAGAGTCCAATGCATATCCGGGATTACACTGACAATTGTAACTTCCAACTGAATTTCTACAACGTCCGTTTTGACATATATTTGGAAAATGGACACACTCATTGATGTCTATAATAAAAATTAAATATTTAATTTGAAAGTGATGGTAATCTGAAGGAAAAATGTCATTAATAAACTTATTTTACAGATATAAAAAAATGATTCTAAAATCTTAAAATAACTATCAGACTCACACAACAGATTTGGTTGTATTTTTTTTTATCAATATAATATATTTTTCTTGCATGTGGGCTCTATAGATATCATGTATACTTTAGTTAGAATTCATATAAAATTTAAAGGAGAAATTTAATTAATAAAAAAATTCTATCTGCAGTATCTTAACTGATTTCAAAGCAGAATACTTACAAATTTTATTTATCTACCTTCTTCAATATTATTTTTATTAATATGATATTTTTTGATTTATCCACTTAATCAGTAGCGTAGCGTAGTGGGGGCAACAGGGGCAGCCCGCCCCGGGCGGCACTTTTTAGGGGGCGGCAAAATTTCACAATAAATAATAATAATATCTTGTAAGAATTTGAACCATTTTATTTCATATTTTCGTCCCCCTACGACTCGGACCGATTGAAATGAGCATGGAATAGTGTTACCATCCATCCAGATAGTCCGAGAATCGACTCGCCATCCAGGGATATCATGCGCCTGTTGACCTTTTTTTTTTTTTATTTTGCTTGTACGATTTATTCGTATATATATACATCTCCAATATCCAATACAGCTAGGTCACTTCCTTTACTCCTATCCAAGTCTCCCTAGTCACTAATTGTAACTGATTTAGAACCAGCATGCACTGCACATTATTCTTCGCATTGCAAAATGACATATGCATACGTCAGGAACTTCTATTCGAACAAACCTCCCCTGCCGTCCGGGTCAGCGATTTTAAAAAGGTGCCAACACTAGCACAAAATTTTTCATTACTTATTCTGTGACGAAATTGAATTTTAGTCTTTTAAATTGAGATACCTAAATAGGGGGAGCAAAATTTTCCTTCTCCCTGGGCGGCTGACACCCACGCTACGCCACTGCACTTAATGTCAATAAAAACAAACAAGTTCTTTCGTGGCTTAAAATATGTTCTTTATTTCATCAGCATTAAGCACGTAAGATTTTTTTTTTCCTGTTTTATCACATTCTTAGTTTTACACAAAATATTTTTTTAAATAATAATCATTTAAGTTGCTAGAAAAATTATTGAAAAAATCATTTAATATATTTCAAATTAAAATTGAAAATGGTATATTTCGCAATTTAAATATAAAAGAAACTAAATCATCTTCATTCTTCCATCTTGCAAAGAAAATCTGTTTTATTTGTGGTGATTGGACAAGATGGAAGAATAGAGACGAGTTAGTTATCTATTTTTAATTAGTATGACTTAGTTCGTATACATAAATGAAGCCTATCTTCATAGATATAAAGAAGAATCTATTTTCACATTTTTTATATTAATATTGATTATTTCAGAAATCACATAAAAATTCCTCCAATTTATTAAAAATAGCAATACTACAGTAAAAATAATAACTTTTTCTCTAACCTGTAAGAAATCCTATTTCGCCTCGAGCTCTCCCGTCGAAAGCAAATCCGATTCCTTTTATACATAATTCTTTGAAAGCATCTGTTAAAACAAATTAATAAACTTAGCCGTAACAATACATAATGTTATAGTAATCTATTATAATACTTAAATTTAAACTTATTTTTTGAGGACTCAATAAGTTATATATATATATTTTTTAAACTGTTTTAATAAATGTGTTTAAATAATTCTCGTGTGTGTAATTTAGAACTTACAAACAATGCTTCAATTTCAATTTTTATATATCCAAATTTATAGATTTCAGTTTCCAGAAATCATTAAAATATGTCTGTTTATGCATATTTGTATATACATATTATACAAATATATATACATATTTTAAAGCTGTTTTATACGAAATATTTTTGCCATTTATTTGAATAAATCTACTTTTCAGCTGATAATTTTAAACATTATCTGGGCACATATATTTAATTTTTTGCTACTTCAATGTTATAATTCAAGATTAGAATCATAGAATATTGTCCATTACCAAAGAAAGCTTCAATTAACTGTAGAAGTTCTATTTATCATTATTTAAGTCTTTAAATGTTGTTCTTTAGCTTAAATCTAGAAAGTACACTGACAAAGACAGTTCTATTTCCAGATTTAAACTAAAGAACATTCTTAATAAAGAATAAGAATTCTGTAATGTCTCAGAAATATTAATAAGTTAGTTTTGACAGAAGTCTTCTAATCTTGCATTTTAGTCAGGATTCCCTGATTTATCTCTTTATGCCTACATAATTCCTTAACTATTTCTCCATTTTCCTCATATTTCTACAATGCTTCTCAAACAATTTTGTTAAATAGAAATCAATAATAATTTCTGCTGATTTTTACGTCTATAAGCAAGAGGATTAAGATGTGACTTAATTTAGATATCCTGGAAATAGTTCTCACTTAAATCTTCAGAAACTTATTACTGAATCTTTTCCCCCCTCTTTCTAATATAAAATATGGATCTTTATATGAATGTACTGAAAATTTATTTTATTAACATACTACATAAATTTGGAATTGTCAAATCTTACAGAATAATTGAAAATTAAAAGGAATATACTCTTATGTTGTGTTTTCATTCATGGTCATGCACTTATCCATGAAAAACATTAAAGCCCTTACAAAATGTATAAAAACTTATGAGGAAAAGTATTCAGTTATTGTCATCTTAACAAAACTCGCTTATATTTATCCTCATCCTTAACTGATTCAATTAAGAATAATTTCCTAATTAATCAATTGTATAGCTAAGAGCATGGATCAACGTCTTTAACACTTTTTCCAGCAACACGCCACTTTATTCAAACAATGTTAAAGGTGTTGCTTACTCTAAACTAGTTCCAACTTTCATACAAGTATTTTTAACAGTATGGATCTCCATACAATTTCTTTCAATCTCATTAACATATTTTTAAATTACTTTAACCCAATATATTATATTAATATTTTACCCGTTCCTGGTCTGGGACAGGGTTCGCAAGTGTGACCCCATGCTTGGCCGATGGAACAGCAACATAACATTTTGCGATAGAGGCCATCAAAAGGTTTGTTGCAACGTCCTTTAGTAAACTGTGCAAAGCATAATTCTTCACGTAAATCTAGAATAAATAAAAACCATATTATTAATTGTTTATTTCATTAAATAGAACTTTTTTAAATATAGGTCTAAATTAGGCTATTCAATCTTTTTCAATATTTGGTGGATTGAACTAGCATGGTTTAAACCACCATGTGCTTTATTTTGTTAGAGAAAACTTCTTTTAGTATGAAGATGTTAGACTATTTAAAATGTGATGTTTTAAGTAAACTAACATTAGAATGCTTTAAAAATAAAAACTAAATCAAATAGAAAAGACTAAAAAGAGATTTTTTTAACAGGATTTTTTTAACAAGGTAAAAATGAGTTAGGCTTTCAAAACTTTCTCCTAATAAGTATCAATAGTGCATACAAACAATAAGGATATATTTAGTTTTCGGAAATAATTTTATCTTTAATTCATTTTTTTTATTAATTATAACGATATATGAATCTGGGATCTTTTTATCTAATTTATTATTAAAAAAACGTTTTATTTCTGTTTTAAATCTTACTAAAAGAGTGGTTAATAAAATGTTTATGGTGTGCAATTAGTCCATATTTAATGGTTATAATGGCCAATTTAGTAATTATAAGAATGTATAAGTGTAATAATAAACATACTAAAAGTATTTCTCATTGATTTGAATAATAAATCCCTTTTTTTATTTTGTTTAAGTTTAAAAAATGTAAAAATTTTCTTGTAAATGAATCTATAAAGTTAATCGAAGACTGAAAATTAAAATTATAAATTTAAAACAAGCAAAATAAAAAACAAAAGTAAAATTAATATGGAATATCTTCAATATTTTCTAAAAGAAAATATAATGCTTGCAAGTGTTAGTTTACTCTATAAGTAAGTAATTAAGTTCTTCCAGAGTCAATTTAAAAATATTTTGAATATCATAAACTTGCTACCAAATAAAGGGATACAAAAACTATTTTATTAAATACACAAATAGAAAATAAACATTCTGTCAGAATAAATCAAAATTCTATAAATTTTCATATAAACAAACATTCATATGAAAATTTATACGCTTAGGATAGAGATATTGATATTGATAATATATTTTTTACATGATAATTAATGCAATAACTTTCTATTTTGTCCCCTTTTTTTTAGACTGAGGTTGAAATTTATGTATAAAACTGAATTTGACAACTAATTTTACAAATTCACACAAAGAGCCAAAAATAAAAGAAAGTCAAACCTTAAAAATAAAATAGAAAACTTCCTACTCAAATTAATTTCCAAAAATATTAAACTGGATAAAGTCTTCTACATCCAATAAAGAAGATTCATTAATTGCAACGTCAATGATTTGTAAAACATTTCTCAAAGTAAAATAAGTACAGTAAAACTTGAGAGGCAAAATTCCCAAAACAGAAACTTGTGAAAGCCTAAAAATTGCATTTATTTCAATAATACCATCAAATTTTCCCCCATAAAATAGCCTGTCTAGAACATGCGTGAACAAATGGAAAGCTACATGTATTATATTTTGTTATTAATTCACATTAGTTAGAACCTATCAAACACAAGCTTAAATAAGTATTGAATCAAAAAGCCTGGAAAAAAACAAAAAAAAATTAATTGACTTAAATTAATCTGAATTGAAACCTATCAATTTCAATTCAAACTAATATATTGATATAATAATTAATATATTGATATAATATAATGTAAAAAATAAAAGTAGGTTTAAAGAGATTAATATTATTTACAGTTAACTGCATACCAATGCATTTTGTTTTGCTAGGATCCAATATCAGTCCAGGAGGACAATTGCAGACATACGATCCATCAGTATTTACACACAACCCACCTCCCTGACATATGTTTGTATATACTTCGCATTCATTAATATCTGAAATAAATGGAAAAAATGAATATATGTGTATGTTTCTAAATGTTGGTAAATATTTTTTAAAATGTTTATTATTTAAATGAAAATTATTACCGATTTAAATTTGTAAATTAATTTAAATATAAAAATTTACCTGTACATGTTGCACCATCTAACATAGCATAACCTCTTGGACATCTTAAATCTATATAACATAGAGCAAGCTATTATTATATTAAAATAGTTTTATATGTTTGAATGGCAGATTATGAACAAAAAATTTAATTTTACAAAACAGCCTTAATTTTTAAATGCATTACAATATATCTTTTTAAATATTTGAATGCTTACCACTGTCAGAACATAATATACAAGGACTTCCCCAGGCTTTACCAATGCCTCCACAACATTCTGATTTCAGCATTGGTATTTTCACATCATTTTCACATTGACCATCTTTGATAGAAAGCCAACATGATGCTTTTCTGTTATCTACAATTTAAATAAAATAAATAAATAAATATATATATATTTAAGATACTTTTGCATGCTATTACAAATGTTAATATTAAAAGTAAGAATATTCATTTAAAGAAAACGTTTTAATGTAAACAATGTAATTAGAAATACAGTCGACCTCCCCTATAACACTGTTGATAATTCCGTTTTATATGAATTCCATGTTGTACGAGTCACTTAGATTTTACAAATACATGAGCCGTTCACAGCCTGGCACACGTTTGTAAAATCTAAGTGACTCGTACAACATAGAATTCATATAAAACGGAATTATCAACAGTGTTATAGGGGGGGTTGACTGTACCAAAAAGAGATTTTATTATAATATAAGAATACATTACCAATACAAATATTTCTTGTTGCGTCCAAAGTTGAGCCTGGTTCACATTCACATCGATAACTTCCTAAAGTATTAATACAAGTTCCACCAATACAAATTTCTTGACCCGGTTCTTTACATTCGTCAATATCTGTAATATGAAAATTTTAATTAATAAATAATTCAAAGTAACTAAATATTTATGTAAAATTAAATTCAAAGAAATAAATAAACCATATTTTTCTTTAATTTTTTTTAATATTAAATATTTAAAAAATTATGAAAGTACTTAGAAAGCTTGACACTATCTTAGCGAAGACTCAAGAGACAAAACTGCTAGTTTATGAATACCAAAAATTAATTACTTTGAATTTTTTTACTCACTTTAAGCCATTTTTAGTGTAAATTGAAAGTAAAATATTTATAAAGTAAGGACATTTTGAAAAAGTCCTATCCTGTAGCCATAAAAATAGATTGGTAAAATTTCCTTTTTAGTGGTACTGAAGATAGTGTAAATTATTATGTAAATAAAATATACAATAATATTGTCTTTTAGTGTTAAATTGGGTAAGATTAAAGAAATGCTAATTTATTCAACCCAATAATAAACATATTTAACTTTTTCGATTCTATAAATATTTTTAATTAGATTGTTTAATTTATAAATACATAAAATCAATTTTAACTAATTTTTATATAAAGATATTAAAATAAACAAACCTTCACACATATTAGTTTGAGTATTATGCCGAAATCCCGTAGGGCAGGTGCACTGAAAACTTCCCGGAGTATTGCGGCACTGCCCGTTATCACAGAGAAGTAAATTTATTGCACACTCGTTAATGTCTAAAAGTTAAAAATAAATAAAAAACAAAAGCTTCTGAATTATTCTAGTACTTCAATTACGTATATAAATAAATATATTGTAATAATACAGTTCAATTTAATATATAACAATTCTATACTATTCATATCATTTCAAAATTAAATAATGCATTAAAAATATCATAGCTAAAATTTAAGTAAAATATATTAATGACTAGCAGATGAGCCCGGTGTTCTCGGACAAAAAGTAATGATAGAAAAGATTAAGATTATTAGATTATAACCGTTTTCACCAGGTGCAAGAATTAGGTCCCTTTCTTCCGAGACTAATTAGGGAATTTTTAGATAGGTCTAAAATATGTTAGATTTCCCACAAAAACACAAAAAACTGCAACTAAAATAGTACAGTAGAAGTCAAGTTCTTCAAGGTAATCCTTAACCCTCTCCCTCACAGAAGGGATTTCGAAAAATCCCTTCTTAGTGTACATTCTCGTGATGTACCCTAACTGTATACCAAATTTCAAATTTCAACTCCTAATCATTTGGGCTCTGCGCTTGTTATTATTTTTATTATTATCAACCCATCTCTATTATAAGATAAAAAAATCGAAATTACTTATTGTGGCATCATCACAATGCAAGGCTGCAATGTTTAGTCATATTTTAATTTAAATTATTGTAAGAATCTACAGCAAATTTATCACTCTATGTAAGGTAAAATTTTGAAACGAAATCATGATTTCCAGTCCAGATTAGAAGTCACACAATATATAGATTCATATATAGTTAATCAAGATCTCCAGCCCCTAAGCCCTTTCATATCTGGTCTCTATTTTCATCGATCTAACTTTGTTCTTGTGATTGGATGGACTGATGGACAATATTTCTGCAATTTTCAAATTACAATCTAATAATTTAAAATTATTAAAAAACTTTCTGAAAATATCAATAACTGATTTATGCTACATAATTTTTTAAAAATTCAAATTTGAAATTTTAATAACTTTTTTGTCAACATACCTGTACAGATTTTTCCTGTGCCGTCAACTTGATATCCTGGATTGCATATGCATCTGTAACTATCTTTCAAATTTTCGCATGCTCCGTTTGGACATATATTAGGTAATACAATACATTCGTTAATATCTGAAAAACATTATAAAGTCAAACAATTATTTTCATAAATTAATAATTTCATTTTTTTAATGTGAATTTAACTTAAAAGTCATGTATATAAATTGTTGTACAGTATTAATGTATACTTCAACTAATATTTGAACATACTTTTAAAATTTGCTTGATTGAGAGTATTTTTAAAAAATATGAAAATATAGTCTTGAGTTGTTTAAGNTACCCTAACTGTATACCAAATTTCAAATTTCAACTCCTAATCATTTGGGCTCTGCGCTTGTTATTATTTTTATTATTATCAACCCATCTCTATTATAAGATAAAAAAATCGAAATTACTTATTGTGGCATCATCACAATGCAAGGCTGCAATGTTTAGTCATATTTTAATTTAAATTATTGTAAGAATCTACAGCAAATTTATCACTCTATGTAAGGTAAAATTTTGAAACGAAATCATGATTTCCAGTCCAGATTAGAAGTCACACAATATATAGATTCATATATAGTTAATCAAGATCTCCAGCCCCTAAGCCCTTTCATATCTGGTCTCTATTTTCATCGATCTAACTTTGTTCTTGTGATTGGATGGACTGATGGACAATAGGTCTGCAATTTTCAAATTACAATCTAATAATTTAAAATTATTAAAAAACTTTCTGAAAATATCAATAACTGATTTATGCTACATAATTTTTTAAAAATTCAAATTTGAAATTTTAATAACTTTTTTGTCAACATACCTGTACAGATTTTTCCTGTGCCGTCAACTTGATATCCTGGATTGCATATGCATCTGTAACTATCTTTCAAATTTTCGCATGCTCCGTTTGGACATATATTAGGTAATACAATACATTCGTTAATATCTGAAAAACATTATAAAGTCAAACAATTATTTTCATAAATTAATAATTTCATTTTTTTAATGTGAATTTAACTTAAAAGTCATGTATATAAATTGTTGTACAGTATTAATACTTTTTAAAATTAATAAAACATAATGTAATGTTTATCTAATACTTTGTATATTTTATTTATTTTAGATATCCAAATATTAATACACATTAATTTTATAAAAAAATACAAAAAAATAACAATTTTCTTCATTCTATAATAATAATAATAGAATGTTTTATTATGAAGCTATTAATTGGTAAATATAAAGATAAAATAGCTATATTATAAAAAAAATATATAAAATACTTTGATAAATTTTTAGTAGTTGTAAAATTCATTAGCTCTAATATCATAACTGAGCATAAAATTCCAAAATTAACCTTAGAAACTAATGAACACAAAAATGGATGCTGATATTATAAGAATTAGTTTTCAAAAGTTGTAGAGACATTCACACATTTGTCAAAATAAATTGCTTTAAAAATCAGTAACTCAGCAAATATTTATGTAAACGAACACAAAGTATTGTGAATTTCTCAATGTAAGATTGATAATATGTTTTTTCCATCTTTATAAAAAAGGCATTATTTAATGTTTTTGTAAATACTTTTTCTATTTTGCAAAAATTTAACGTAACCAAATGAATTCCTTTCAATTTAATTTAGAAAATAACTGCCTTTTTTCATTAAAATCAGCTTTATTTTTTGTAATTAATAAACCTTTCTGTTTTAATTTTAGTAGAGCAGAGACCTTTTAATAAGTTTTATAAAGAAACAAATAATTTAAACGGTTTTAAGTAGAAAAAAATTTTAAAAAATACATCAAATCTACTGTGCAAAATACTAAAGCTAATTGTATTGTGATTGCATTGTGTTATGTATTACAATTAATACAATATTTACATAGTATTTACCATTATTGTATTAATTCCAATACATAACAAAAACAAACCACAAACATGGTTTTTAAAGTTAAACAAAATTGAAAAATTGAAACTGCAGGATCTTTTTCTATTAATTAATATTTAAGTTAATTAGAAATTTATTTGCCTTCTCCTTCATGACCAATTCCAGGACCTCCAGGACACAGTTGTGAATATTCCACAGAACTTGGCGCCGGACACGGAATGCATAATCTTCCCCACGCCGGTGTCATCGCCCCTCTTATTGCACAACAACAAGCCGATTTTGTAACAAGCATTGCTGATTGTAAACTACAATCACCATTTTTATAAGATGCATAACAGTAATCTTTTCTTGTATCTAGAATTGAAAAATATTTCTATATAATATATACTGTATAATATTATGTTAAAAATGTATTAAAAACATGCAATTTATTTGAAAGTTTTACGTAAGTAAACCTAATATCCTGAAAAATTTTATCAATATTAAAAAATTTATTAAATTTATGACACATATATAATACTTTATGATATAATTCATAATAAAAAGTTTCATGTAATAATTATTTTTCCACTAAGTAATATAAATATTTACTCAGTTCATAACGTTAAGTTGTAATTTTAATTTTAAAACAAATTTTTCAGGTTACTCTAATTCACTTTTGTAAAATGTAAAATAATATATAATAATTTCAAATATACTGGCAAATCTAATAAGCTAGCATGTCCAGCTAGTCTTGGGGGGTGGAGTATCAATGCACTGGGTGTTTGTCTGTATTTATATGTAACTAGATAGCCAGTTAATTAAAACTACAAATAATAATTTAATTAAAATTTTAAAAAATTTAAAACTCTGGCCAAACCAAAACAGAAACAAAAACCAAAACTAAAGTTAAAAATCAAATCAAATCAATTGAAACATAATATTTAAGAAAGTGTGAATAAAGTACTTGTCTGGCTTGATTGATTTGGCTATATTTCATGCAGGCAGTCAGAGTTGAGTCTCTATTTATAGCACTTCTTTGTAAAGTGTTAGTTTCAGTTTTGCTTGGCTGCCATGGAACATTTTGTTTTTAATATATAAAATATATAGAATACAGATATAAAATTTAGAGTAGATATAGGTAAAAGTGTACAAAGCACAAAATAAGATTCTAATTAGAGTATTCTTGTTTCAAACTAACCAAGGTAAGAATATTCTGGAAAAATTGAAATGGTGCATTAGCTGATGATGCAAAGTTAACAGAATGTCACTATATATATATATTATAATGTTAATTTCTTGATGACTGTTATGTTCCTGAAGTGTTTAACAAGAACAAAATATAAAAAAATTTTTATTTACTTAATGTTTCTTCAATTTTAGTGGATATTTTAAAAATTATTCTTGTCCTGGCCATTTTATTAATAAAATCTTTCTTCCCAATAGTCATAAAATTATCCTCACTTCCAATTATTCAGTAATATTAAGCTTAGATACTAAGAAGCTCTGACAAAGTCTGGTAACCAGAATTTTTCCACCATAATGTTCTATTTTTGTTAATCAAAATATGTATTGAATCTTCTAAATAAACTATACAAATTAGGGATGCTTATAACTGTCTTATTACTGAACAATTTTAAAGTTTTATGGAATAATGATTATTAAGACATACAGTTAAGTTACTTTAAACAATTGTTAAATGTAAAATGAATGTATATCAACTGGACTTTTAAATACAAAAACCATGTTAAAACATTTAAAAATATATATTTTTTGATAAAATAAAGATTTTTTTTCATCAAAGATTTCATCAAACTGATGAGGGATGTTAGCTATCCAAAACATTTTTTCATAAAAAAAAAAAAAATTAAAGAAACAAACATGTTCTTTCTTCAAAAACTCTATATATCTNTGATAAATTTGGTGTAGATTCTTACAATAATTTAAATTAAAATATGACTAAACATTGCAGCCTTGCATTGTGATGATGCCACAATAAGTAATTTCGATTTTTTTATCTTATAATAGAGATGGGTTGATAATAATAAAAATAATAACAAGCGCAGAGCCCAAATGATTAGGAGTTGAAATTTGAAATTTGGTATACAGTTAGGGTACATCACGAGAATGTACACTAAGAAGGGATTTTTCGAAATCCCTTCTGTGAGGGAGAGGGTTAAGGATTACCTTGAAGAACTTGACTTCTACTGTACTATTTTAGTTGCAGTTTTTTGTGTTTTTGTGGGAAATCTAACATATTTTAGACCTATCTAAAAATTCCCTAATTAGTCTCAGAAGAAAGGGACCTAATTCTTGCACCTGGTGAAAACGGTTATAATCTAATAATCTTAATCTTTTCTATCATTACTTTTTGTCCGAGAACACCGGGCTCATCTGCTAGTCATTAATATATTTTACTTAAATTTTAGCTATGATATTTTTAATGCATTATTTAATTTTGAAATGATATGAATAGTATAGAATTGTTATATATTAAATTGAACTGTATTATTACAATATATTTATTTATATACGTAATTGAAGTACTAGAATAATTCAGAAGCTTTTGTTTTTTATTTATTTTTAACTTTTAGACATTAACGAGTGTGCAATAAATTTACTTCTCTGTGATAACGGGCAGTGCCGCAATACTCCGGGAAGTTTTCAGTGCACCTGCCCTACGGGATTTCGGCATAATACTCAAACTAATATGTGTGAAGGTTTGTTTATTTTAATATCTTTATATAAAAATTAGTTAAAATTGATTTTATGTATTTATAAATTAAACAATCTAATTAAAAATATTTATAGAATCGAAAAAGTTAAATATGTTTATTATTGGGTTGAATAAATTAGCATTTCTTTAATCTTACCCAATTTAACACTAAAAGACAATATTATTGTATATTTTATTTACATAATAATTTACACTAACTTCAGTACCACTAAAAAGGAAATTTTACCAATCTATTTTTATGGCTACAGGATAGGACTTTTTCAAAATGTCCTTACTTTATAAATATTTTACTTTCAATTTACACTAAAAATGGCTTAAAGTGAGTAAAAAAATTCAAAGTAATTAATTTTTGGTATTCATAAACTAGCAGTTTTGTCTCTTGAGTCTTCGCTAAGATAGTGTCAAGCTTTCTAAGTACTTTCATAATTTTTTAAATATTTAATATTAAAAAAAATTAAAGAAAAATATGGTTTATTTATTTCTTTGAATTTAATTTTACATAAATATTTAGTTACTTTGAATTATTTATTAATTAAAATTTTCATATTACAGATATTGACGAATGTAAAGAACCGGGTCAAGAAATTTGTATTGGTGGAACTTGTATTAATACTTTAGGAAGTTATCGATGTGAATGTGAACCAGGCTCAACTTTGGACGCAACAAGAAATATTTGTATTGGTAATGTATTCTTATATTATAATAAAATCTCTTTTTGGTACAGTCAACCCCCCCTATAACACTGTTGATAATTCCGTTTTATATGAATTCCATGTTGTACGAGTCACTTAGATTTTACAAATACATGAGCCGTTCACAGCCTGGCACACGTTTGTAAAATCTAAGTGACTCGTACAACATAGAATTCATATAAAACGGAATTATCAACAGTGTTATAGGGGGGGTTGACTGTACCAAAAAGAGATTTTATTATAATATAAGAATACATTACCAATACAAATATTTCTTGTTGCGTCCAAAGTTGAGCCTGGTTCACATTCACATCGATAACTTCCTAAAGTATTAATACAAGTTCCACCAATACAAATTTCTTGACCCGGTTCTTTACATTCGTCAATATCTGTAATATGAAAATTTTAATTAATAAATAATTCAAAGTAACTAAATATTTATGTAAAATTAAATTCAAAGAAATAAATAAACCATATTTTTCTTTAATTTTTTTTAATATTAAATATTTAAAAAATTATGAAAGTACTTAGAAAGCTTGACACTATCTTAGCGAAGACTCAAGAGACAAAACTGCTAGTTTATGAATACCAAAAATTAATTACTTTGAATTTTTTTACTCACTTTAAGCCATTTTTAGTGTAAATTGAAAGTAAAATATTTATAAAGTAAGGACATTTTGAAAAAGTCCTATCCTGTAGCCATAAAAATAGATTGGTAAAATTTCCTTTTTAGTGGTACTGAAGTTAGTGTAAATTATTATGTAAATAAAATATACAATAATATTGTCTTTTAGTGTTAAATTGGGTAAGATTAAAGAAATGCTAATTTATTCAACCCAATAATAAACATATTTAACTTTTTCGATTCTATAAATATTTTTAATTAGATTGTTTAATTTATAAATACATAAAATCAATTTTAACTAATTTTTATATAAAGATATTAAAATAAACAAACCTTCACACATATTAGTTTGAGTATTATGCCGAAATCCCGTAGGGCAGGTGCACTGAAAACTTCCCGGAGTATTGCGGCACTGCCCGTTATCACAGAGAAGTAAATTTATTGCACACTCGTTAATGTCTAAAAGTTAAAAATAAATAAAAAACAAAAGCTTCTGAATTATTCTAGTACTTCAATTACGTATATAAATAAATATATTGTAATAATACAGTTCAATTTAATATATAACAATTCTATACTATTCATATCATTTCAAAATTAAATAATGCATTAAAAATATCATAGCTAAAATTTAAGTAAAATATATTAATGACTAGCAGATGAGCCCGGTGTTCTCGGACAAAAAGTAATGATAGAAAAGATTAAGATTATTAGATTATAACCGTTTTCACCAGGTGCAAGAATTAGGTCCCTTTCTTCTGAGACTAATTAGGGAATTTTTAGATAGGTCTAAAATATGTTAGATTTCCCACAAAAACACAAAAAACTGCAACTAAAATAGTACAGTAGAAGTCAAGTTCTTCAAGGTAATCCTTAACCCTCTCCCTCACAGAAGGGATTTCGAAAAATCCCTTCTTAGTGTACATTCTCGTGATGTACCCTAACTGTATACCAAATTTCAAATTTCAACTCCTAATCATTTGGGCTCTGCGCTTGTTATTATTTTTATTATTATCAACCCATCTCTATTATAAGATAAAAAAATCGAAATTACTTATTGTGGCATCATCACAATGCAAGGCTGCAATGTTTAGTCATATTTTAATTTAAATTATTGTAAGAATCTACAGCAAATTTATCACTCTATGTAAGGTAAAATTTTGAAACGAAATCATGATTTCCAGTCCAGATTAGAAGTCACACAATATATAGATTCATATATAGTTAATCAAGATCTCCAGCCCCTAAGCCCTTTCATATCTGGTCTCTATTTTCATCGATCTAACTTTGTTCTTGTGATTGGATGGACTGATGGACAATAGGTCTGCAATTTTCAAATTACAATCTAATAATTTAAAATTATTAAAAAACTTTCTGAAAATATCAATAACTGATTTATGCTACATAATTTTTTAAAAATTCAAATTTGAAATTTTAATAACTTTTTTGTCAACATACCTGTACAGATTTTTCCTGTGCCGTCAACTTGATATCCTGGATTGCATATGCATCTGTAACTATCTTTCAAATTTTCGCATGCTCCGTTTGGACATATATTAGGTAATACAATACATTCGTTAATATCTGAAAAACATTATAAAGTCAAACAATTATTTTCATAAATTAATAATTTCATTTTTTTAATGTGAATTTAACTTAAAAGTCATGTATATAAATTGTTGTACAGTATTAATACTTTTTAAAATTAATAAAACATAATGTAATGTTTATCTAATACTTTGTATATTTTATTTATTTTAGATATCCAAATATTAATACACATTAATTTTATAAAAAAATACAAAAAAATAACAATTTTCTTCATTCTATAATAATAATAATAGAATGTTTTATTATGAAGCTATTAATTGGTAAATATAAAGATAAAATAGCTATATTATAAAAAAAATATATAAAATACTTTGATAAATTTTTAGTAGTTGTAAAATTCATTAGCTCTAATATCATAACTGAGCATAAAATTCCAAAATTAACCTTAGAAACTAATGAACACAAAAATGGATGCTGATATTATAAGAATTAGTTTTCAAAAGTTGTAGAGACATTCACACATTTGTCAAAATAAATTGCTTTAAAAATCAGTAACTCAGCAAATATTTATGTAAACGAAAACAAAGTATTGTGAATTTCTCAATGTAAGATTGATAATATGTTTTTTCCATCTTTATAAAAAAAGCATTATTTAATGTTTTTGTAAATACTTTTTCTATTTTGCAAAAATTTAACGTAACCAAATGAATTCCTTTCAATTTAATTTAGAAAATAACTGTCTTTTTTCATTAAAATCAGTTTTATTTTTTGTAATTAATAAACCTTTCTGTTTTAATTTTAGTAGAGCAGAGACCTTTTAATAAGTTTTATAAAGAAACAAATAATTTAAACGGTTTTAAGTAGAAAAAAATTTTAAAAAATACATCAAATCTACTGTGCAAAATACTAAAGCTAATTGTATTGTGATTGCATTGTGTTATGTATTACAATTAATACAATATTTACATAGTATTTACCATTATTGTATTAATTCCAATACATAACAAAAACAAACCACAAACATGGTTTTTTAAGTTAAACAAAATTGAAAAATTGAAACTGCAGGATCTTTTTCTATTAATTAATATTTAAGTTAATTAGAAATTTATTTGCCTTCTCCTTCATGACCAATTCCAGGACCTCCAGGACACAGTTGTGAATATTCCACAGAACTTGGCGCCGGACACGGAATGCATAATCTTCCCCACGCCGGTGTCATCGCCCCTCTTATTGCACAACAACAAGCCGATTTTGTAACAAGCATTGCTGATTGTAAACTACAATCACCATTTTTATAAGATGCATAACAGTAATCTTTTCTTGTATCTAGAATTGAAAAATATTTCTATATAATATATACTGTATAATATTATGTTAAAAATGTATTAAAAACATGCAATTTATTTGAAAGTTTTACGTAAGTAAACCTAATATCCTGAAAAATTTTATCAATATTAAAAAATTTATTAAATTTATGACACATATATAATACTTTATGATATAATTCATAATAAAAAGTTTCATGTAATAATTATTTTTCCACTAAGTAATATAAATATTTACTCAGTTCATAACGTTAAGTTGTAATTTTAATTTTAAAACAAATTTTTCAGGTTACTCTAATTCACTTTTGTAAAATGTAAAATAATATATAATAATTTCAAATATACTGGCAAATCTAATAAGCTAGCATGTCCAGCTAGTCTTGGGGGGTGGAGTATCAATGCACTGGGTGTTTGTCTGTATTTATATGTAACTAGATAGCCAGTTAATTAAAACTACAAATAATAATTTAATTAAAATTTTAAAAAATTTAAAACTCTGGCCAAACCAAAACAGAAACAAAAACCAAAACTAAAGTTAAAAATCAAATCAAATCAATTGAAACATAATATTTAAGAAAGTGTGAATAAAGTACTTGTCTGGCTTGATTGATTTGGCTATATTTCATGCAGGCAGTCAGAGTTGAGTCTCTATTTATAGCACTTCTTTGTAAAGTGTTAGTTTCAGTTTTGCTTGGCTGCCATGGAACATTTTGTTTTTAATATATAAAATATATAGAATACAGATATAAAATTTAGAGTAGATATAGGTAAAAGTGTACAAAGCACAAAATAAGATTCTAATTAGAGTATTCTTGTTTCAAACTAACCAAGGTAAGAATATTCTGGAAAAATTGAAATGGTGCATTAGCTGATGATGCAAAGTTAACAGAATGTCACTATATATATATATTATAATGTTAATTTCTTGATGACTGTTATGTTCCTGAAGTGTTTAACAAGAACAAAATATAAAAAAATTTTTATTTACTTAATGTTTCTTCAATTTTAGTGGATATTTTAAAAATTATTCTTGTCCTGGCCATTTTATTAATAAAATCTTTCTTCCCAATAGTCATAAAATTATCCTCACTTCCAATTATTCAGTAATATTAAGCTTAGATACTAAGAAGCTCTGACAAAGTCTGGTAACCAGAATTTTTCCACCATAATGTTCTATTTTTGTTAATCAAAATATGTATTGAATCTTCTAAATAAATTATACAAATTAGGGATGCTTATAACTGTCTTATTACTGAACAATTTTAAAGTTTTATGGAATAATGATTATTAAGACATACAGTTAAGTTACTTTAAACAATTGTTAAATGTAAAATGAATGTATATCAACTGGACTTTTAAATACAAAAACCATGTTAAAACATTTAAAAATATATATTTTTTGATAAAATAAAGATTTTTTTTCATCAAAGATTTCATCAAACTGATGAGGGATGTTAGCTATCCAAAACATTTTTTCATAAAAAAAAAAAAACATTAAAGAAACAAACATGTTCTTTCTTCAAAAACTCTATATATCTGTCAACTTTGTTAAAATATAAATATTTTTTTTTATAAGTCTCAACTTACAGAAAATGTGTTGCATGCCATTCAGAAGATAGTAAGAACTATTTAATTGATACAATACTTATTCTAAAAAAATAACATAAATATTTATAAATATTAAAATATAAATTATTACAAAGAAATTACCAACCAAGACATCCTCTTCCTCCTGGACCTGTAGTAAATCCATCTGAGCAGACACATCTAAAACTGCCATCAGTATTTTCACATTTTCCATTTATACAAATATTATAAGAATCATAACATTCATTGATATCTAAAAGTATAAATAATAAACATTAAATATATTTTTTATATTTTTATTTTGAAAAATTTAATAAAAATTATTAGATTAGACACACACACATATATATATAAAGATTTTCTAAAGTAATGAGCAATAATTTTTATAAATTGTTATTTTGTTTTATTAAAAATTGAAGTACACCATCTTAAATTGTAGAACTCCTGTTTACTTTCTGAAATAATCTCCACTTCTTTGTACACATCTTTCTTTACATTCAGGAAGTTTAAATATCCCCGTGGTAGAACTTCATTCCAGCTCTTCAAAGGCATTGATGCATTGCTTTCTTGATTGCTACTATTGTCTCATAATGTTTGCTTCATATCTGATCCTTCACAAATCCAAATAGATGGTAGTCTAAGGGTGCTAGATCAGAGCTGTAGGAAGAATGTGAAAGAATTTCCAAACCCATCTTCCCATGTATAGTGGGCAGTATGGAGCCAAACATTGTTGTGTTGCAGGATGATCTTTCTTCCAGGAGATTTATCGTAAAATGCTTGTTTAAGCTTGTGCATTGTATGGCCGTAATGATCAGCATTAATCATCTGACCAGGTTTCAGAAAATTAGCCAAAATCAACCCTTCTGCATCTCAGAAGATCATACTCATAACCTTTGCAGCTGATGGCACTGTTTTTGCTTTCTTGTTTGTTGGAGAATTCAAATGATACCATTCTATGCTCTGCTGTTTCATTTATGGCTTAAAATATTTGCTAAAAACAAATACTGGCTCAAAAGCAGTATTTGTCACCTGTAGCAATATTGAGCAAAAACTCATCTTCATTTCAATAACTCTGAAGCAGTTCTGAGGTGAAGGTTTTGTACTGAACTTTGTGGTCTTCAGTCAATAAATGCAGTACCCAATGACACAAACTTTCCTGCAGCTTAAGCTTTTAATCATCTCCTAAACTGCATGGTACTCTATTCCAAGGTTCTCACTATTTTCTCTGAAGTCACACCTGTCTTCCTGAATGATCTCATCAACTTGCACCTGTTGTGTTCTATTGTGGCTGTTTGAGGGTCACTGTTATGAGGCTGATCTTGGATATTTGTGTTCCCATCTTTAAAATGTTTCACTCATCTCCTAATACTATTGGCATCCATGCAGGCTGAAGTCTCTGGTGAATTTTGCAGCAGGGATTGCCTCCTTAACAAGAAACTGAATGAAGGCATGCTGACAAAATGAAACATCACTGTACGCCATTTTGTTTGGCATTCTTGCAATCATGTGATGCAAGCTATTGATGTCATAGGCACACAAATATGCCCCAAGACATGTACCACCTACCAGACAGTAATATAATAATTCTTCTGCTATTGCAAATTTGACTATAAATAATTTTGCTCATTAATTTTGTTATGACTCTCATATATACATAGTATATACTACTTTCTTAACATTCAAAATTCTCGCAATTATAGGCATAATATCTTGAGTTCATTTTTCAAATAAATTTTCCACATAAATCCAAGATAATTTTACAAATAAGAAAGATAAATAATTTACAAATTCTAAAAAAAGTTGTTTTAATCAATTAGATAAATGTAATTGCAATTAACTTACACCTTTATCTGACTAAATCTAAAATTTTACTTTGTACAATTTAAATTTGAAATGATCAAAAAGCAGTAACATAATTAGAAATTTAATTTAGCAGAATAATTGAAATAAATTATTATGTAATTAAAATATTTATATGTTTTAAATCATATTTAAAAAATTTAAATTAAAAAATTATTGAGTGATCTAATTCAATTTAAATGAAAATATGTATACCTATACAAGTATGACCAGATTTTGAAAGTTTATATCCAACATTACAAATGCATTTAAAACTTCCATCAACATTAATACATTTTCCATTTTTACACATGCCAGTTTCTTCACATTCGTTGTAATCAATGCAAAAATCTCCATCGGGCGATAAAATAAATCCATTTTTACAAGCGCATCGATAACTTCCGGGTAAATTTTCACACGTTCCTTTTAAACAGATTCCACTGTTCTCAGAGCATTCGTTAATATCTGTAGGAAAAAAATATATAAAATATTTAATTTCTATTTGTTAAATTTAATAAAAAATTAAATTTATAAAATATGTATATTATCATTTACAATTTAAGTTACACAATATTTTCAACATAAATTTTAAAAATATTTCTTAAAAAAATAATATCTTAAAAACTTTTAAGAATATAAATAAATGAATGTTAATAATGTTTCATTTAATTTAAATGTGAATAAATCCAATGTATTTTAACATTTTATAAAGATAAAACAAAATCTTTCTTCATGTTAAACAAATTTATAAATTTTAAACAATTGTTTCATACATAACCTGTACACGTAAATTTATATTAATTAATAATATACTCACCAATACAAGCCTGATTATTAGATGTGGCAGTAAACCCAGGATTACACTGGCACGCATATGATCCATCTATATTTATACACTTGCCATTGGAACACATTCCGGTAACAGAACATTCATCTCGATCTAAAGTAAATATTTTTTAAATTTAATTTTAATTATAATTAGTATTCATATTATTATTTTAATAATTAGTTATTTGTAAGAATTTTCGCCACAAAATGCTTCATTAAGTTAAAAGTAGAAAATAAAATATAAAAATCTATAAATTGAAACCTAAATATAACAAGGATACATAAGGGCAAAAATACAGCACATAACATATAAAAATAACTGTATATAAATAAATAAATAGACATAGTATGAAAAATCATGTACAATTATCAGAAATGCAAACAAAAATAAATATATAGTACAATACACTATACTCTATGAACAAATTAGCATAAAATAACTAAATACATTTTGTAATATTTATGATTTTCAAAAAGCTAATATAAGAAATTAAGTTTGACTTCTGATTCTATACACTAGATAAATCTTTTAATAAATAATGAAAAATTTAAAGATGAAATTATAATCTTACCTTGACAGTCGGTTCCGTCATGAGTCAAATCGTAGCCTGGATTACAAATACATCGGAAACTACCTTTAGTATTGATACAATGACCTCGGCGACAAAATCCTTTCTCCCTACATTCATCAATATCTGTGAATTTAAAACACAAATTATTTTTAAAATGATTTTCACACATTAAATAACACATTAACAAATTTCCTAATAATAAAAAAGTTTTGATTACTCATAAATCATATTATTTTTAACAGAAGTAAATGCTTACCAACACATTTTTTTCTATCGTCGAGACGAAAACCATCATGGCATTTACAGATATAAGACTGAATAGTATTTATACAGATACCATTTTCACATATATCAGGTCTTAAATCACATTCATTAATTTCAAATAAAGCTCCACGTTGACAAAGATGAATATAAGTTGCTAAATGAAAAAATAATAAAAATTTTAAAGATAAAATTATATTTTTCTAAATAAATCATTTTAATTTTACTGAAAACGTTGTAGGTTCATTTAATGATTACACTTATTTGCTGGAAATATATATATATATAGAAAGAATTCAAAAACTCTATTATGTCTTTACTACTATAAAAAAGAACAAGCCATTATTTTTAATCCCCCTACCCCCGAGGTAACAGTGTTGCCAAGACTAAAACCCGTTTTTTTTAAAGTTCAAAGTGCCCTGGCTAATAAAAGTTTTTTAGCCAAGACACTTTGAACTTTGAAAAAATTTTACAAATAAAATTTTCATTGGATGAACTGTAAAAGTGTCCTCTTTCATTGTCCTTTTGTACACCATCGCTTATGTCCCAGCTAAAACTTTTTTATTAAATGTATAATTTTTATAAATGTGTAGGCTGCCATCAGAGGAAACTTTGTAACATTTTGCATGTTGAGGCAGAGAAGCAGCTTCCGAATATAGGTAATCTCTACCATGAAATCGTTATTTCTTGATAGTGTATGAAGGGAAGGGACAATGAAAGAAAACACTTTTACAGTTCATTCAATAAAAATTTTATTTATAAAATTTTTTTTCAAAGTTTATACTTATGTCCTGGCTAAAAAACTTTCTTATTAAAGCTATTTAATACATTTCAAATATAAATCTAATACCTTATATCAAAATTATTAATAGTTATTTTATAAAATATCTAGAGGTATTTCAAATTTGTGATACAGGAATTTTTATTATACAGTATATATATTTTTAAAAAAAATCAATTAATTCACCATATAGAAATACAAAAAATAACTTAAATTCAATTTTTATTGTGTAATTATACACTATGTACACTATGTATAATCAAACCTTGATATATTGATAGTATCCTCCTAAATAAAACCAATAAAACTTGTGAATGATTTGAATGCAGACTGGCAGTTTGAAATTTGAAAATATTTTCAAATGGATCTGCCTGATGATGGCAAGCTTCTATATCACTGAAAGCACTCATACATTTTGTTAATTCATATTTTGCTTATTCGTTAAAGTACTGTGTTAATGTCATCAACAGAGTTTTCCTAATAATCATTACTATTACTGATACTTCCCCATGAATATTAAATAGAAAACCCTTTAAGGATAAGATAAGAAAAAAACCACCTAACAGTGAAACATTTTAGTTTAGTTTAGTGGATTTAGGACCAATTTTGGAACAAAAAACTGGCAGGGCTAAATCAAGGGTTAACTAGGCTTATAATAAAAACTCAATGCTACATATTAAAAAAGGTTCAATTTACAAATCAATACAAATAAAACATTTTTTCTTAAATTTTTAATGTTATAATGTATTTCATTATTAAGATATCATGAAATAAATTATTAAATACATATTTAAAAATGGAGTCATCTTGAAACATTATTAAGATATAATGTTTCAAGATGACTCCATTTTTAAATATGTAAAATCAAAATAGCTTTAATATTAAAGAAGTCACAGTTTATCTGATATACAAATATCTTCAAATTTCTCCATTTCAAGCACATTCAATATAAGCTTTGTTTTAGAAGACCAATAAGAATTTGAATCGTACTTTTTTCTCTTCTAATATAAACTGTAAAAGCCATTAATTTTAAATTTTAAAAATACTTCATTTAATTCAATAATTTATTTAAATTATTTTGAAGATAAAATCATTTGTTATCTTGGTTTTAAAATTAAAATTTAATTATACAACAAAATAAAAAATAAATTAAATATTTATAGTATATGCTCAGTAAAGTTCATTATAAAATTTTTATATTGTATTTTTCCTAAATAATTTTTTAATATTTTATATAAATTGTTATCTAAAAAAGTATTTGAAATTTCTTCAAATTTATTGTTTATTCATAAAACTAATACATTCAATTAACTAAAAACATTATCATCACACATGCAATTTCATGATATAGCAATAATTTTATTTTTGTATTAAGATTGATGTACAGTGCTTATTTGCAAAACAAATCAATAATAAAATAAATTAATGTTATTATAAAATATATTATTATCAATTATATAAACAATTGATTATTATAAAATAAATATGTAAAATAGTCTTACAAGATCCCGGAAGTGGGCAAGGTTCACATTTTGCTCCACCCCATCCTTTTCCCATGTTTTCACCACAGCAGCATTCGACTTTAGATAATTTAACTGATAGCTTTTTTCTGCATTGACCATTTATAAATTCTGTATAACAATTTTCTTGTCTTGTATCTACGATAAAACAATAAAAAGATAAAAGAAACTATTATTCCTTTACATATATAATTAAAACAAATCATAACAAATTTATATAACATTAATATACATATATATAAATTAAAATCTTACCAAGACATACTCTTCTATCTTGAGAAGGAACATAACCGCTATCACAGATACAATTATAACCACCTTCTGTATTTATACATTGCCCATGTAAGCAGATGTCGGGAGTTATTTCACACTCATTAACATCTAATAATATAAAATTATTATTAAAAAAAGTATATTTTTTATATATAAAGATATAAAGTTAATTTAATAATTATAATAATTATTATGATCTGTTTTAACATTCTACTTTGCTTAAAACTTCCACATTTATGCAGGAGGAAAATATTTTAAAATATCTTAAGAATTTTTATGAAATTCAAAATTTACAATAATTTTAATTATCTGAAATTATAAATAAAAAAAATCAGATATGGCAAAAACAATTTTTCTTTTCAAAGAATAAATAAATAATTAATGATTTTGATTTTAAAAAATTTAATACATTATATTTTATTACTGGTAAATTGTCAAGTTTTAACGTAATTTTATCTAATTATTTAACTAATTAAAAATCATCACGTACAAGCAATTATTAAATTTAAATAATTTTATTTTAGTCTATTAATTAAATTAAAGAAAATTAGCATATTCTCATGATGAAGGGTTTGGCTCATTTAAAATACTTAATAAAACAAAATGTTAAAGCTTCTGGAGAAAGACTATATTTTAATTTTTTTTTCTTTTATTTGAAAACTTTTATATCAAAATTCAACCAATAAACTGCTAAGTTGGAGAAAACAAATCTGAAAATGTTTTTTTTTCAAATAGATCTTTTAGTTTCCTCAATCTAGCAGTTATTGATTGAATCTTAAAATGTAGTGCCAAATTACAGATAATTTTATATCCCAAAAAATTTCACTGTTTTATATTTTCTAAGCTTAATTAAATAGTTTTTAAATGTTATAGATACCTTGACAGATGTTAGGATCTTCTTTTGTTGGTTTATAACCATCTTCACATTCACATCTAAAAGAACCATGAGTATTGACACATTTCCCTTTTTCACAAAGACCAGGAATAGCTTCACATTCATCAACATCTATGTATAATGTCAAAACAGCTTATTCAATTTAAGTTTTAAGAATAATTTATTAAAAAATTAATAAAGTTATATATATATACAGGGTGTCTCAGTTAAACGTTTCAGAACTTCTAAGGGTGGTAGGGTGCATCCCGACGACTCAGAATCATATAGCAATGCAGGGTCGGAAATGCTTTCCTGAAGTGGTGATGTACACAGAAACAGCTAACCTCTGGTGCAGGCTTGCAAAGAAATTATGGCTGGGAATACGCCTCATCAGATATTGTTCCGTGTACAAGTGCTGTGCGGCTGGCCCACTACAATCTGCAGGCCCTTACACCAAATGCATATCGGCTAACTCTGTGTCCTTGTGCAAAATGACGATTCCTTGCAAGAATGCTCGAAACTTTCGCGCATCTACCGCATCAGGAAAGCATTTTTTTTCTTTAGGATCAGTATTTATTTTTTTATGCTAAATTCAATAAATATGGGATTTATAAAATAATAAAAATATTGTTTTAAATTAAACTTACCTAAGCATGATTTTGATTGAATATTTGTTATAAATCCTCTATCACATTCTAATTTGGATGGACATTGTTCACAAGGATGTCCCCATGCTACTCCAATAGTAGCACAACACAATTGTTTAGTACATACCACTCCTGTTAACTGTCCAGCACAAAATTGATTTTTCACCTTTTGAAAGCAAGGTCCAGTTCGATAGTCTATTAAAATTTAATTATATATAAATGTAATTAATATAATAAAATTAGCAATAATTTATGTTAATTAAACTATTTACTATGGCAGAAAACCATACAAATCTAAAGTATACTGAGTTTAGATTGAATTTTCAGAAATAATGGCTCATTAAATTCAAACTATTAAATTTGAATAACTCACATAATTAAAACGTTATTAGTAAAGACCATTTATATAAAAAAAACCTATATGCTTTTTATTTCTGTAGAGAAAGATAGGAAGGGAATTAAATCAGAATAATATTTACTACAATCAATGAATTTATTTATAAATTGACAAAATATCCAAAATATTTTTTGACTTCAGAAAGTTACAATAAAAAAATCAAAATTAACTTATCGTGACATCATCACAATGTCGGGCTGCAACTTTCAATCATGTTTTAATTTAAATTATTGTAAGGATCAATTCTATATCAAATTTATTGCTCTATACCAGCGATTCCCAACCTGTGGTACGCGTACCCCTAGGGGTACGCGATAGGTTGTTCAGGGGTACAGAAAGAAGTTAGTTATTATGGCAGAAAAAATAATATATTATGTATCACAAACTAATAGTATTAAAAAATTATTAGATAAAAAATGTTTCTTGCAACAATCACAACTTTATTATACATTTTTTCTTTTAGGTTTTTTTTCTTTAATTTAAAGTTACAATATGTAAAATTAACAATACGGTTACTCACTAATTTTCTTAAATGAGGGGTACAATCTAGAGATATGACATGTCACGGGGTACGCTAATGAAAAAAGGTTGGGAACCACTGCTCTATACTATAGAATAAAAATTTCCATTTGATGCGACCTCTGGTCCAGACCTGAAATTGTATATACGCTAGGTCACAAAAGTATCCGGACACATAAAATAAAAGAGTTTTTTAGTTATCACTCATTTCTTACCTGAAATAGGAAAAAAAATAATGACCAATCTAAAACCCTCAGACTTTTTTTACACTAGAAAAAAGTATTTACGTATACAAAAACATTCATCAAAAAGAGAAATATACTTTTATTTAAAATTGTGAAAATTTTCACATCACAAAAGTATCCGGACAGAAGAAATAAATAATGATAAAACAAAATATTTTGTACATTTAAGAATTAGTTATGCCTCCTTTTGCTCTTATAACAACTAGGCATTGATTCATCCAAATTTTTATAACAGTTTTGTCTATTAAATTCAAAACTGTGATGATGTTTTTAAGATCAGATTTGTTTGTTATTGATTCAGAGTGTTTCTGCAGAAGTATGTACACCACATTTTACAGAAGCCTCAACAGCAAGCTTAGGAGCAATTACACTGGACAACAAAAAAAAATGTTTTTGAATGTTTTCTTTATTTCATGAGTGAAATCTTACTAATTTTGGGGTGAGAAAATTGAATATGACAAAGATAAATTTTTATTAGCTCTAGTTTCTGTGGTATACAATAGATGATTTTAACAGCATAAGAGAAAACGATACATTTTAATTACATATGCTAACAACATTGAAAGTGCTTTTGAATTTTTTTAAAATTACAGTAACATTCTAAGAGTTCTAAATTAATAGAAGAATACCTGGCAGGTGGTTCAGTGTGAAGAGAATCATGTGGTGACTTCATGAGATTGTTTTCTTTTGGCTAGCCTCTTGTAAGTGAATTCTGGTGCATCCCTACACACAGACCAGCAGTAATCTGCAAGTATTGTTTTATTCCAATGGCCCTGATATCTTTGTTCCAATACAGAAATATCCTGGTGGAATCTTTCCCCATGTTCATCACTGGCAGCTCCACAACTAGGAGGGAAAAAGTCTAGGGGGAGTGGAGAAAATGGATTTTGAGGGACATGTTGCATGCAAGTTGATGATATTTTTCCAGAAATATTGTTGCCTAAGAATCCATGAATAACTCCCTTTAAGGCTTCCCAAGCTTCCTTTTTTTCCCCCCCTCCAAAACTTGGTCAAATGCGGGATCCTTTACAAGTTTTCAAATTTGTGGCCCAACAAAAATACCTTCCTTAACCTTTGCATCACTTAATCTAGGAAATTTGTCTCTTAAGTACTTAAATGCCTGTCCTTTCTGGTTTAATCTTTTGACAAAAGTTTTCATTAAATCCAGCTTGATATGAAGGGATGAAAGAAGAACATCTTTTGGGTCCACGAGAGGCTCGACAATGATATTTTTCTCGGTAGAGTCAAGATTACTTGCAGTTCAGTCCACTTGAATGTAATGTGATTTCCTATCTCTACTGTCCCACATACATAAAAAGCAACAGTATTTAGTGTACCCCAGTTGCATTCCTAAGAGTACAGTGTTGATTTTTAGATTGCCACATATTTTCCACTTGTACTCAGCATAATTGATTGAGTCAAGGAGGGCTGTCATGTTTGCATAAATATATATTCTATAATAGAGTGTAGTATTATTATATGCTGATCTGAGGAGTTTTACAGGAAAAACACCAACGAAAAATTTGAAATAATTGAAGATGCACTATTTTGTAATGAAACATTTTTTTACAAATTTTACTATAAAACCTTTCTCATATATTTTGTATTATTTAGATTATGTCAATCATTTTAAATTATAATTTAAAATGAATAAAAGTTTTAAATCTTTTGCAGACCATATTTTAGCTCTTGTGGACCACTCTCTGGTTGGTAACCACTGCTCCAAAGCAAGAGCTAATAGGTCATTTTTATAGTGATATTTGAATTCGGCAGATGAAAATACATAAGAATATGCTAATTTTGAGCCCAAAACAAAATCATTGTTGTCCAGTGTTATTTGTGGATTTTTCTGCACTTTCCTGACAATGACACATTTCTGTCTCAAAGTAAATATTTCAGGACGTCTAGTTTGAGCCTTATTAACTACACTATTTGTTGTAAGGGATTTCATAATGGTATCTTGAATAGTGGATTTTGGAACGTGAAACTGTTCTGCAAGGTTTTGCACAGATTTCCCCTTTTGCTATTCCTTAATAATGAGTTCTTTAATAACAATAGTTAATTTGTTTGATAAACTGACACTTTCTATCGTTTATTTCATCCGTTTGAATACTTTTGTGATGTGAAAATGTTCACAGTTTGAAATAAAATTGTATTTCTGTTTTTGATCAATATTTTTCACACATGTAAATATTTTTTTTTAGTGTAAAAAAGTCTGAAAATTTCAGATCTATCATTATTTTTTCCTATTTTATGCAAGAAATGAGTTATAACTAAAACACTCTTCCATTTTATAGGTGTCCAGATACTTTTGTGACCTAGAGTAGTTAATCTCTGGCCCAAGCTTTTCACATCTGGTCTCAAAGATATTAAAATATTAATGAAGATTGGACAATAGACAGATGGATGACAGTGGGCATTCATTGTGTCAAGCATATTCTTTTATATATCATATTTGTGCTCATCATATGTACTGATACTGATGTTAAATGAACTTTTATTTTTAGCTGTTGTGTTAATAATATATTAAAAATTATATGTTTGTTATTTTACATAAAATGCCACTTTTCAGTGTCTTCAAAGTAACCCAAACAATAATCCTCATTAAAATCTGGCAAGCTTCTATGTCTGAAATGCAATCTGAACTCATGAAACTAGAAACAACACATTCCCACATTTGTCTGGCAGACAAAATTAAAAATAAAATTATGCATTATCTTGTGACCATAATTAGGACACAAGTATAATTTGTTAAGGTCGTGTATGAAATGTTTTAAATTTTACAATAATTCCTTACCTCTTTCACATCTTCTACCTGTAAAACCATATATACAAGCACAACGATCTGGTCCAATGCATCGTCCACCATTTAAACATGGTTCTCTACAAAGTGCTTAAAAATAATAATTATTTAAATAATTAAATACTTATAAAATTTATTTTTTAAAATATATTAATTAATTTTTTAGTTACATCTAATAATTAATGTATGATTTAAAAAATAATTAATTCATGCAAATGAATGTTTTAATATTTTTATTTTCCTACTTAAATTCAGAGTTGAAAAATGCTTTCNTTTATACTCTAATAATTAATGTATGAGTTAAAAAATAATTAATTCTTGCAAATGAATGTTTTAATATTTTCATTTTCCTACTTAAATTCAGAGTTGAACAATGCTTTCTTGAAATTTTTATATAACATTTAGAACCATTAAACTTTATAAATAAAAGATTTTAAACAGAGATGGAGCAAACAATAGAATCAAAATTTAAGAAACATAAAAATTTAGTATAAAAACACTGTATATTTTCTAAAATTGAAAATGCCATATTAATATCTAATAATTTTGGGATAGAAATATATCTTTGTAAATATTACGGGTATGAAGAATGATGACTTCATTAAACAGTGAAACTAAAACTTTAGTATCTACAAGTACAGTGGTGCCTCGTATAACGTACGCCTCGAATAACGGACGCTGCGAATAACGGACTTTCTGTTTGACCGTTACGTGATTCGAACAACGGACTGGCTTCGAACAACGGACTTTCCGTTCAGCAGTCACGTGAAGCGAACAACGGTCTTTCTGCGAACAAGTGCGAATGATGTTTCCAATCTTTTGCCGTTGCCAATGACAATCTGCTATTTTTATAATATATTAGTTTTATTAGAGCATATTATTAGTATTTCTGAAGTACAGAACTCCCGTTGGGATTTGGCTTGCTCCCTTGTTTATTACGTACATCACCTCAGTGCAGGGTATTTACATTTATTCAAGTGTTGTGCAAATCATAGCTTCTAAAAAACAGAAAAGTGATTTCAATTGAAACAAAGCAAGAAATCATCAGGAGTGAAAGTTGACAAAAACTTCCTTGTCAAAGGAGGAGAGGTTCAGGAGTTTACCAACACTCATTATCCAAGCAGAGCTGATACAAACGGGATTAATGATTTCTACAATAACACCCTTGCCCGTCATTTCCGATAGGTGTTGAAGAAGAGAGAGAAACAGACAACCTTGGACATGTTTTTCAAGAAGCAAGCTGCCAAAAAACAAAGGATGGAACAAGAAGAGTTCACCCTGCAAGCTCCGGTAGCCTCTCCTGAATCTGACTCCGATTAAAAAACAATAAAGAGAGACCCGCTACAATGTGTAAAAAGTCTGTATCGGTATGAATATGTGAAGAAAATGTTCCTCCACCTCCTCACGACATCTGACTACCCGCATAATTAGTGACTGCTCTGTTTTCATTTTTTTATGGTACAGTACGGTTATTTTATGCTGCGGAACGAATTATATGTTTTAACATGTATTTCTATGGGAAAATGCGTTTCGTATAACGGACGTTTCACTTAACGGACGTGCACCTGGAACGGATTAAGTACGTTGTACGAGGCACCACTGTAGTTTTATATAAATAAATAAGTATGAGTGTTCTAAATTATATAATCATTAAAACATTTTTGTAGTATTATCCTTAAAAACATTTCTTTTCAACTTTAAATATTGTTTTAAGAATTAATATGTGGTGGCAATGATATTTAACTAATTCACTTAATTATTTAATAATTAAAGAATTTAGTATTAAAGATAAACATATCTGAGATGTCAAATTCTCCAATTATTAAATAATTAAACTAGCCAAGCAATTACAATGCAACACTGTTTATACAAAGGGTATTTTTAAAATAAAGTCTGTTTTTTTAATAAGAACAAAAATACTGTAAATATCATTAAAATATATTTTTTCCCATATTATAATATACTTTTATCTACTTTTCTACATAATTTCCATTTTTGTTCAAACATTTGTCATACCACTCAACAATTTTTTGAATTCTGACCTCAGAGAAATCTGCTGCCTGCCACCGGAAGACAGTAGGCCACACTGCTTGTTTTGTATGACACTCCGGAGTTTTCTCAAGGTCACACAATACTCATCAGAATTGATTGCTGTGCCTATTGGCATAAAATCCATTAGCAAAATCCCTTTCCTGTCCCAAAAGACAGTTGCCATGATCTTTCGTGCTGAAATCGAATAACAGATTGTATCTCACAGTCAGCAGGCGACTCAATTTTTGTAAACATTATAAACTTCTCTAGCTCAGTATAATACGATTGCAAATGGTGTCTAAACATGCGCAAAGCATGCTGGGAGCAGACGTTCATGCACATTGCTGTGATTGCACATTATTCTCACTCTCATTCACAATCGGACTTTATTTAAAAAATAGCCCTTGTATGTCTCTCAAGAGATCCAACCAAAAGATGTAGAATAGAAGTTTAAGTCAAGATATGCCATAAAATAGTAAACCTAATAGTTTTATGACAAATTAATAGTATTACAACTTTTAATAAATTTATCTTTCATTTTATATTTTTTTATACTACATTTTACATACATTCTTTAAACAGTAATACTTTTTATTGCATATATTTTTTTTCCTGAAATTGTAGGGATTATGGTATATAGACATAATTCACTTAGCTAGCAAGCAGCTATAAATTCCAAAATGATTTTTGCCTATTCAATACTGAAATGCCATCTCAACAGGTAATACACTTCAGTAATACCCCAAGTTATGTAGCATGCAACTTATGTAAAATCGCAGTTACATAAAATGTAAATCTCAAAAATTGGAAAACAGTCTGAGTAGAGTAACATGTAATTTTACAAAGAATTATACTATTTCAAACATTCATTCATTCTCTCTTTCCCCTTCTTTTTTTTGCACTGTACTGATTTATTACTTTATTGCTCTGCTAATCCTTTACTTTTTGGTGTAATTGTAAGCACATATGTAAGCGTACCAGGCACTCTTTCTCGTAAACAATTCTTTTATACAAAAAAATAATAAATAATATATGTACAGTACACATATAATANAGTCTGAGTAGAGTAACATGTAATTTTACAAAGAATTATACTATTTCAAACATTCATTCATTCTCTCTTTCCCCTTCTTTTTTTTGCACTGTACTGATTTATTACTTTATTGCTCTGCTAATCCTTTACTTTTTGGTGTAATTGTAAGCACATATGTAAGCGTACCAGGCACTCTTTCTCGTAAACAATTCTTTTATACAAAAAAATAATAAATAATATATGTACAGTACACATATAATAATAAATACAGTATTGAGTTATTAATTACGTAGTTACACTTAAGCAATTTACAAATTCGAGTTTCGTAAAGATCTACAGTCCACATTACTTATGTAACTCAGGATATTACTGTACTCTACTTTTGTTGTTAAGAGATACTATGTGTAAACTCCCTATATTTTAATTGCAATCAATTCATTTCTTAATAATCTACAACTAATTCGCCCTCTCCAACAGAAAAATAAATTTAATGATGTCAATTTTATACCATTTAATTGCTAAAATATGAAAAGAGAAATGTAAGTATAGAAAGAAATAATGTGATATATAATGCATTATCATTATCAGAAAGGAAAAACTGTATATTTTACTATTAAGAATATTAGGATAATTTTGCAACAGATATAAAATGATGCATAAGTAATAAAGACATACAGCACATGTAAAATGCATAAACAGTGCTCTAGTATGTAGTATTGTGTCTAGTAATTTTTAGTGAATGATTAATTATTTGATGTTATTAGTAATCCAATTGCTAATTTTATTATATTAGAATACTTATGAAAATTAAACCTATCAGTTCCAACTACTAGAGAAAATAATGTTAAAGAAACAAATTAAATTATTAAAAATTCATTATTTTTATTGCTTTAATTGTTTATAATGATGTTTATACTATACAAGTGTGTAAATTTTGCTGTTTTTTAAAAATTATAATTTCAATTTTAGATACTGCAGAAATGATAATATGAATATTTTATTTAAAAAAACTAGTTTTACCTGGAGGAGGTGAACCTACTCCAATTGTTCCGCCACCTCCAACTACACCAGTTCCTCCACCAATTGTTCCACCTCCACCTCCAGTTTGGCATGATGTAGCCATCTGTCTATTATTGCAATAGCACATATTTGGTTTAATACAATAACCATCTCCACAATTTCTTGTACAAATAGCTATAACAAAACACAAAACAAAATTTAATATCTTTAATAATGTTTATTAAGATTCCTAAACTTCATATAATAGCTGTTGTCTCCTTATCTCTTTCTCTTTTTTAATTGTTTGTTTTGTTAAGCTATAGCAATGTAACATTTGGGCAATCNACACAACTAACTGTCTGAAAATTTCATTGAAATCCAATATTTAGGATCACTTTGGATAAAATAAATATTAAAATTTGAATTGAGGAAGTTGAAAGTAAAATAAATCGATGTCAGGGGACTGAAAAATCTCGACTTGGAGAAAATTTGAGTTAAGAAATTCAAGTTGGAGACGTTAAATCCCTATGCTATTCCATTGAGAACCACCAAGTGCTTCGTTTTCTTCGAGTTAAAGAAATATTTGAGTTAAAGACGTTTGAGTTAGAAAAGTTTTACTGTACTTTTATTTTATTTAGAAATATTTAAATGTTCTTATAATGATGGGATTTGTTCAGTATTAATTTATATTTAATTAATTATTTTTCCTTTTTAATTAAAGTTGATCTGTTATGCATTTGAAAAAAATTTTAAAAATTAAAACTTACGAATAACACATAATCCTCCTATTCCTGGCCTCCTTGTCCATCCAGGACAACAAAAATATCTTCCTCCTTTCCCACACACATTTGGTCTAAAATATATAAAATTTAAAATTAGTCTTTTTTATTTGTTATGGAAAAATGCAGTAAAACCTCACTTATGCAATCACAAATTGTATACACTGAAGGTGGCCATCTAGGTAGGGTTATAAAAAAATTGACGTGAAGAACTGTAATTAAAGTACTGTATGCTGCCATAAGTTTAATGTAGATTATAAAAGTAAACAGTAAATAAATAAATAAATAATTCACATAATACTGTACATCCTGTGAAATTTAATTCAAACTTTCATACAGGGATAACACTTAACACTGAATAACAAAATATTGAAATATAGGATACATGTGAGTGCAAACTTTAGTAGGTTCATTCAAGTATTGTACAGTACTAAAGAAAATTGTTTTAGTATCCATAGACGAACGAATATCCAATAGAATCAATATGTTTATAAGACGGTAGTAAAAGTTTTATTTAAATGCTTTATTTTAACAAGAGAATTGAGAAAGAATTATTAAACAGAAGTCACTAAATATACAGTCAAAGAGTCTGAAAAAGTGTTAATAGTTAAGCTAATTTTTACATCATTTTTGATATTCATAGTCAATATTTTTCTTCATTGAGTGTTGCAAGTAACATAATAGCAATGTAGATTGATCATCACTGATTTACTTAATTATATTTTTACAAAATACAATCTGTTTTTATATAAAATTATTTAACAAGTATATAATTGTCTTTCTTCTTACTAAATTGGTAAAGGGTAAATGTGGATTTTTTTTATTTGAGTACATCTATTGGAGGAATTTTAGCAAACTGTTCAAAAACTATAAAAACAAAGCTGTTTAAAGTGCAATTATGTATAAAATTTATTTTAAAATAGTTTTAATATAAGTCTGGATATTTTTTCTAAGTATATAATGACAATTTTACCTTGTATTATCAGTTATATTTGCACATTGCATGTACATTATGTTAATGAAGCCTCTAGTAATAACATATTATGAGTTCAACATTATTAATAAGATGTTGTGTGTTGTTGTCTTTGTTACTAGTCTGGGGGACTTTGTTTGAAACATTATTAATATTCATACATACAGGGTGTTTATAAATGAATGATGCAGTTTTAAAAATTAATAATAAATCTATTCACTACCTTATATGGGCAAACCTTACAGCATAAGCAGCAGCAACTGTCCAAGTTCACAGGAATGTATGCAAGCTTCTTAATCGTGTTCTTCACCAATGCTGGATTGGATGTGGTGCAACAGCATACAATAACCTGCTCCCCTGGCCACCCCGTTTGCCAGATTTCTATTTGTGGGGTTTGTTAAAGACCGAGTTTATGTACTGTCAATGCCTGTGTCCCTTGAGGAACTGTGTGATCGGTAAAGCACGCACTGCAGACCATCCCGGAGGACATGCTACACCACATATGGGAAGAATTTGATTACCGTGTAGATGTGTGTCGTGTGACCATGAGTGCACATATTGAAGGATTGTGATTAATGCATAAAAATCTTGGACAGTTGCCGCTGCTTATGCTGTAAGGTTTACCCATATAAGGTAATAAATAAATTTATTATTAAATTTTAAAACTGCACCATTCATTTATAAACACCCTATATAAACATCCCAAAAACCCGACGTATTAATTATTAATAATCATCCAACCTTCCGCCAAATTATTTGCAGCATAATTTCTGCCCGATTAATTTGGCTAAAGGTTAGATGATTAATAAACAGACAGTCTCAAAAACTGCAATTTAACAGATACAAAAAAATTTTCATGATCAGTTTAGATATTTCCATATCATATAATATAAAAACAATAACATAATTAATAATCACAATTGCCTAAGAAAATCTTAAATTCAACAAGTTACTACACTTTAATATGATTTACAGATTTTAATAATATACAGATAATGTAAAATTTCTCTAACTCAAAGCTTCAAAGGGCAGGAAAAAGCTTTGAGTTACAGATGATTTGAGTTAGAGATCAATAGAGTAAAAAAATGCCTATTCTGAATAGATTTNAAGTTACTACACTTTAATATGATTTACAGATTTTAATAATATACAGATAATGTAAAATTTCTCTAACTCAAAGCTTCAAAGGGCAGGAAAAAGCTTTGAGTTACAGATGATTTGAGTTAGAGATCAATAGAGTAAAAAAATGCCTATTCTGAATAGATTTGTACTTTTATCTCTCTTGCATTATATAAAGAATTTTTGATAGTTTATATTTTAAGTAGCCCATGTACTACTTTTCAGCAAACTGTTCAATGTAACTAATAGAATCAAACAGTTTTGCAGGTACATATTGTTGAGATAAAGCAAGAGGACCTCTCACTTTTGACTGAAATATTGTATGAAAATTGGTATCGGAGAGTAGACACAACTAACTGTCTGAAAATTTCATTGAAATCCAATATTTAGGATCACTTTGGATAAAATAAATATTAAAATTTGAATTGAGGAAGTTGAAAGTAAAATAAATCGATGTCAGGGGACTGAAAAATCTCGACTTGGAGAAAATTTGAGTTAAGAAATTCAAGTTGGAGACGTTAAATCCCTATGCTATTCCATTGAGAACCACCAAGTGCTTCGTTTTCTTCGAGTTAAAGAAATATTTGAGTTAAAGACGTTTGAGTTAGAAAAGTTTTACTGTACTTTTATTTTATTTAGAAATATTTAAATGTTCTTATAATGATGGGATTTGTTCAGTATTAATTTATATTTAATTAATTATTTTTCCTTTTTAATTAAAGTTGATCTGTTATGCATTTGAAAAAAATTTTAAAAATTAAAACTTACGAATAACACATAATCCTCCTATTCCTGGCCTCCTTGTCCATCCAGGACAACAAAAATATCTTCCTCCTTTCCCACACACATTTGGTCTAAAATATATAAAATTTAAAATTAGTCTTTTTTATTTGTTATGGAAAAATGCAGTAAAACCTCACTTATGCAATCACAAATTGTATACACTGAAGGTGGCCATCTAGGTAGGGTTATAAAAAAATTGACGTGAAGAACTGTAATTAAAGTACTGTATGCTGCCATAAGTTTAATGTAGATTATAAAAGTAAACAGTAAATAAATAAATAAATAATTCACATAATACTGTACATCCTGTGAAATTTAATTCAAACTTTCATACAGGGATAACACTTAACACTGAATAACAAAATATTGAAATATAGGATACATGTGAGTGCAAACTTTAGTAGGTTCATTCAAGTATTGTACAGTACTAAAGAAAATTGTTTTAGTATCCATAGACGAACGAATATCCAATAGAATCAATATGTTTATAAGACGGTAGTAAAAGTTTTATTTAAATGCTTTATTTTAACAAGAGAATTGAGAAAGAATTATTAAACAGAAGTCACTAAATATACAGTCAAAGAGTCTGAAAAAGTGTTAATAGTTAAGCTAATTTTTACATCATTTTTGATATTCATAGTCAATATTTTTCTTCATTGAGTGTTGCAAGTAACATAATAGCAATGTAGATTGATCATCACTGATTTACTTAATTATATTTTTACAAAATACAATCTGTTTTTATATAAAATTATTTAACAAGTATATAATTGTCTTTCTTCTTACTAAATTGGTAAAGGGTAAATGTGGATTTTTTTTATTTGAGTACATCTATTGGAGGAATTTTAGCAAACTGTTCAAAAACTATAAAAACAAAGCTGTTTAAAGTGCATTAGAAAATACATTAAGTTTAGAAATTAAACACAGAGTTTTCCTGTTCTGTTGGCAATGGGAATATGGATAAATGTCACTTTAGGACACTCCTTTCTTGTTCACTTTAAGTAAGGTAGCCACCAATATGGAGTTTGATTTAAATTAAAACTTATGCAGTTTTACAGGGACATTTCAGATGTGGCTACAAAGCAAGGTTTTACCATATTTGTGAATACTTCAAAACATTTTATGAAAGAAATGAATTAAAAATGAAGCAACAAGAAATCAATGTCATTCCTCTCAACCTTTGAAAAATATTGTTTTATCACATATTAGAATACAGGAGGGGGTACAAAAGTAGATATACAGTTGTTATTATGGAAAAAAAACATACAGGGAGAAAATAGGAAAAAAAAACATTTATTTTTATGATGAATTAAATCACAAATAAGAAATACAAACTAATAAAAGATAATAAAAATAATAATAATGAACACTGAACATTTGTATTTCTCAGATTCTCAACTGTATATCTGCTTTTGCACCCTCCCCTGTATATTCGATACCTTTAATATATTTAATATACCTATTTAATATATTCATACCTTAATAATAAATATTAATTATATACACTTGTTAAGAAATCAAGTTTTCCAGTTTGTAAAAATATTTTAATCACATATTGAAAAACTAAATATATAATACTTAGATTATGTTTTATTATAATTTTTTTTTCACTATAATTTTTCTACAATTCTACAAGTTTAAAAAATTTTTCATTGTAGAAATTAAGTTTCGAATGTCCAACTGTTTTAATATCTCATCATCATGCACAATACATTGTCATTCCTAATACTTCTCTATTAATTTCGAAAATGTGTTAAATTGTTATTACATTAACACCACACAGCTCTTATTAACTATTAACTGTTTGCAATATCATTCAAAAGAAATTAATAAAATCATGTATTTCTTTACAGAAAAATGCTTTAAGTATCAACAAATAATGAATCTTCATTGATTAAACATGATAATATCAATGTTGGTACATAAAGAGCACTCATTTTCTTAAATTTGTAAAAGTTTCTACCAAATCAGAATTGCGTGTATCTTATATTTCTATTCTGATATTTTCCTTTAACAACTAGTAATATTAAGAATAAAGCAATCGTTATCTGTCGATCATTCATTATCAAGCCTGAAAATAAAATCTGGATTATAAATAAACATGTTGTTATCTTTTTTTTTAGCATAATTAATTAGTAAATTTTGATTATATTAATTAAATTTACAGTCGTATATAAAAAGTAACAGTCTAAAATCGAGAACAGAATTTGAATCTATCACATAATAAAAAGTTATCAATAGACGGTATTCAAATTCTCAAATTTAATTTTGCTAACTCTAACTTAATGATTTTTTTCAGGAATTTTTAATATTTAATACTTGATTATAAAGTATTAGTTGTAATAATGTTATCGCCTCTATAGATAATTTGTTATTAGATTCATGAATTCCCTCGAATTCTTCGGTTTAATCCAATTGAAACAGTCATTCTTAACCTTTTCTGTTGCCTGTACAGTACATCTTGAATTTTAAAAATGCATTCTTGCATCTATTAAAAAGTCATTAAGATATTTTTTATTTAAGCAGTTCCATTTTCTCTTGATCCTAACTTTAAAGACTGCTTCAACAGTGCATTATCATATAAGAATATGGAGATATATATCTCAGGTTCCATATTAAGATAAAATAATAACAGTGTTCTTGTTTTATCTGAAAGCCAACTCACACAAAGATTTTACTTATATGAAAATTAGAAACAATACAATTATTACTCTGTTAGAGCTGTACATGCATACTATATGTTGCTTATCAGTGAATGGTAACTTGCACACAGTGTATATAAAAGCACAAGCAATAATACATGCAGGTCAGTATAAGCAAAACTTAAACAATATTGTCAATACTACAGGTAAAGCAAGTAAACAAATAATTCTACTATGTCCTCTGATTATATTTCCTATTTCAACAAAAATTTAACAACGTCCAGTTTGATATTGATACTTAATAAATTGATATGTAGGTTGTACCAGTACTATTGTTATTATTACTTTATTTTCCTTTATTATTGGCATTTTTTAAATGGAAATGTTAGATACATATCTTATGAAATGTTGCTAAATAAAATATATGTCAAAATTTTCAAAAATATCATATTTATTTAATTAAATTTTAATATTTAAGATGTTAGGTAGAGTCC